AACTGTTTGACTGCGCTTTTACTCATACTTTGTCCTCTACGTCACTTGCTCTCCCACTCAGCTCAGATGCCTATCCACAATGGGAATATGCTATGGGACATCCTTCTGGTTTGCAGAGTGCTGTAGAAATGTAATTTGTCTGGTCGTGTGGCACAAGTACACCTTCCAACACCCCATTGCTTGCTCCCCAGCTCCACCAGCCACAAAATCCAACTGATCCAAAACTCCGCGGCCTGCGTATTCACCCACATGAAACTCCGTACCCCTATCAGGCCAGTCCTCACCAGCCTTCATCCCACTTATTTCGCCAACTGCTCACTCCCTACACCACCACTCCCAGGCCATGTAATTGGTGAAGCCGAGAACGGAAGGAGAGAGCAGTGCTGTCCACGGGCCTCACTCCACCTGAAGTTCAGATTTTGACATGTTCCAATTTACCACAAAGAGCAATGGACAGTCAGAGACCCGCTGTGTGAGGCTATCTATCCAGTGAGGTGCCCCCAGCACTCAGCACAAAGCGGCTATTGGGGAATGTACCCTGACCCCAAAAACCAGGGGGCAAATCCCCTACAGATGAACTCGTCCCAGACGAGATTTGCAGAGCAAATACTGACTGTCACAGCGAGCAGGTCCTGGTCAATGATCAGGTCCACACCACCTGACCATCTGCCTATGGGTCCAAAGATCCTTCACCTACCTGGTCCCCATCCCAGCCTGGCTCAGCAGCAGGACTTTGGGGGAAGACAAGTGGCTGGAAGCCGCGATTCTTCTGACTCAGCTCCTTTGAACCCTTCAGCCAAAGCCCTGAGTCGTCAGGTAGCGACTAATAATGATAACAATTAGGGTGTCAACAGGAGTTTGTCTATGTACCAGACAAATGTGGCGTCAAACTCCATGGTCAGATGTTGGAGCTCACAGTCCTACTGATAGCGCCTGAGGCTGTGATCAGGCAAAACTTCTGATGCAGTTTTGAACAAGTATTGAACAACTGGATGCCAAGGGATTTTGTATCAGATTTCAGTAAAGATATCAGAGCGAGCATCAGCTCACACGTTACCCAAACCTCCAACGATGTGTATGTATATATATATAATTATTATATATATAAAATGATCTGAGAAACGTCTTTAATCGTCTCTCGCTGCAGGAAGATAATGAAATCAGCAATGACAACCGACTCACAATGACTTACCAAACACACCAATGAAGGTGAAAATGGGATAAAAAATATATTTAACAATGAAAATCGCTTCTTTTCTTAACATGTTTGCGAGCGGCGACGTTGGAAGATTGTCTGCGACTGAGAGTGAGCTTTCCCGGGTACCGAACTTATAGAGCAGAGAGACACCTCAGGGGACCAGAGCAGGAATACCCACTGCTATTAGTTACAGTTCGGAGGAGAACAACAACAACAACAACAACTTGCATTTACACCACCCGCTTCCCACTGATCGGCGTCTCAGAACATTTAACAGTGTCGATGCCGAGCCAAGGGAGGGGGAAGGTGACCAGAGGCACGGTCGAAGAGGATGGTCTTTAAACATAACCTGTAAATGAGAGAGAGGGCACAAGGCGAGGGATGGAGGGCGAGAGGTTCACAGTTAAGGGGCATATCGGCTGAAAGCGCCGCTGCTGATGGTGGGGGCGGAGGGACCAGGGGACAAGGAGGAGGTTGGAGCCAGTCGATCCGAGGCAGAGGGAAGTGGTGTGGGGAGACAGCTGGTTGGAGAGATAAGTGGGTGCCAGGGCAAACACACGGAAAGAATACACAATAATAATCCTTGCATTTGATATAGCGCCTTATCACCTCTTCAAGACGTCTCAAAGCGCTTCACAGAATATACTGTAAACTGAATTGACAATATTTTGTGGGCGAAACGTGTATTGCGCACAGCAGCGTCCCCACAAACAGCCGTGGATTGAGTGACTAAATTATTATTTTATTTTGAAGGGATTATTACCACTGGAAAGTGATCTGCCAATTGACTAACAACCGGGTGCCTAATTACTGCTGTGGAAACATCGGAGTGGAGAGTGAGGAAACTTTCCGAAGGTTTCTAGGAGTTAAGTGGGGTCCACTCAGAGTTGAAGTGGGAACACACACTCCCCCTATATCTCTCTCCCTCTCTCTCACTCTCTCTCACACACACACACTCTCCCTCTCCCGCCGGGTATTGAACCCAAGTCCTCTCGCTCGTGAGACGAGTGCTCTAACTGCTGAGCAACAGGACATTACACACAGTAGATACTACTTTCCAGAAAGACTGGGCAGGTGGAAGGTTGAAGATGAAGCAGGTGTTAAGCTCCCACTTCAACCCTGAGAAGACTCCACTTACCTCCCCCTCCCACCCATTAGATCTGCAGCAACAATAGCAGATGTCAGTGCACCCCTCTCCCCCACGTCATCGTTCCCTGGTGAGACTCACACTGTTCAATTCCTTTGGGGCAATTGGAATCACTATTATGGGAACATGTGGCAACTCTCCTGCTTTCCCCACTTTTCCCCTTTTGGGAATTGGAACCCCAGGTACTAAGTGTTATTGCAATCTTCCCATCAGGAGGATACCTCAGAGCGACACCAGGAAGTGTGGGGAACTGTGTTTCGCAATCGAGCGCAACACAGCTGCCAATCTGCTTCAAACAACAGAGCATAACCCTGGTTTGCTGTGTCGTGGCCCTGCCTCGGAGTGAAAAGACTGTGTGTTACGGTCCAGTCGCTCAGCGGGTCGAGCACTCGCCTCGCAAGCGAGAACCTGGGGGTTCGGCTCCCGAACGGGGCGAAATGTTGGGCAAGTTTCCTTAATTCGTAAACGTCTGTTTACCTCGCAGTAAATAGTTGTCCCGCAAACTAACCCCACCCTCCCCCTCACTGTCCCCCAAGACGCTATCCTGTGCGTAGGGCGAGGTATAGATGTCATGGTGTGACTCACCCACAACCCAGTCAGCAATGCTGATGTTTCTTAACCACAAGATGTCAGTGTTTGACACGTGCCGCCCAATCACCACCAATCTCGCCTTGAAACCCTGGATCTCGCCACTGAAGACCATCCTCTTCCACCGTACCCACGGTCACCTCTCTCCTCTCCCCCCCCCCCCCCAACTCCCCAGCCCCTCCTTGGCCTCAGGTTTCTGGGATGCGGCGTGAGGGGCGCGGAGAGGGTCCCGAGATGTTCCTTGAAAGAGGCAAGGGAGGGAGTGGGGCAAAGGGACTGTGGGATGGGGCAGAGAGGCTTGGCGGGGGGGAACGTGGGTCACAGAGGTATGGAGGGGTCAAGGCCGTGGAGGGCCTTGAAGTCGAAGCTGTGAAGATTTCAACGAAGAAACAAACATGAAGACAGGACGGCAGAGCGGGAAAGCTGCAGAATGTCATTTTATTGGGTTTCGGAGAAGGAATTTCAACGCTAACGGCCAAAAACAGTCCGTTTGTCTGTGCGTCTGCCCCATCACACCCCGTGCTGGGTTGTGGCTGAATGGCGATGCCTGACTGGGAACCCAAGGACCTTGTGGTCAACCCCTGAGCTTTCCACAGCAGAATGTGCCTCAATCCTAATAAGCCTCACGTTTAATAAGCCTCTCAACTTGAGACGTGTCAAAAGAGCTTCACAGGGTTTTAAGGTAGTGACTGTGTGTGTGTTGTGAATGGATCTTCTCTGGTGTTTGGAGGACACGGAACCAGGTTTCATCTCATCTGCTCCTTCTAAGAACCCAAGGCTGATGTTTCTCTTGTTGTTCCGCGTCTGTCTCTGTCTCTCTCTCTCCCTGGAGGGACGCCCCCTCGCTTACCTAATTCCGGAGAGTATTAGGCGCAGGTTGGTGAGAGCCAAGGCTTGAGGGGGAGCCCAGAGTGTGCGTTGGGGTAACTGCTGGAGTCTAACCATCTAAACCCACACACAGCTCAGCCATTGATGTCGCTGTCTGGCCGAGCTTTGCCGCTGCTTGTCCGGCTCGGACCCCCCTCCCCGTGAGTTAGGGCTTAGGCTGTGGGGTTACCAGGAGCCGAGGGGGAGGATTCTCTGCCCAATTATCTCAGTCAATTCAATGACTTGAGCTCACTGAGGAGCTTAAAGGGGTTTCAGATACACCCAGACATGGAGCTGGACAAGAGGGCACAGGGTCAGGGGTTGAAGATTTCAGGACAGACATCAGTAATGGTGTCTGCCATTGCAACCACAGAGGTTAACAGCTGGGAGGAGGTTACGGGAAGCGTGGCTAGGGCAGGACACTGGGGCTTAATCATCATAATAATAATTATAATAATCCTGGCATTTGATATAGCACCTAATCACGTCGTTGAGACATCTCAAAGCGCTTCACAGCATATACTGTCAAGTGTAGTGACTGTGTATTTGTGGGTGAAACTTGTTTGAGAAACAGACGGACACTGTGAGAGGTCAGGGTATCAAGGGATACGGGGCAAGGGCAGGTAATTGGACTTGAGGTACAGATCAGCCATGATCTTATAGGATGGCGGAACAGGCTCGAGGGGCTGAATGGCCTCCTCCTGCTTCTAAGTTTGTAGCCCCCAAATGAACAGTGAGTCGCAATTCCGCATGGCCTCAGACTTTGGGCCAGTGATTCGAAGGCACAGACCCGGTGAATGAGTCTTTCTCTCTCGCGCGCGCGCGCGGGCGCGCGTGTGTTTGCGTGTGGGCAGTAAGCCGGTTAAAAAAAGGAACAAACTATAACAGCGCAAGACACGTTACCGGGAACGGTTTCCCACTCGGTAACAATTCGTTACCTCCCAGTTATGGTCAACGCGGCCAGCCAGGCCACGCCGGGAAACAAACCGAACAACAACAAAAAAAATCATATTTAATAACTCGACGCAATGAACACATCGCATCGCATCGCATCAGCGCATCTCAGCGATTTGCTGACGGGCTGAAATTCGCGATGGTTTCCTCAAGTGAGAATCGGCAGTTATGGCCATGTATATGGGGGGGGGGAGCGAAGGGGTGTGGAGTGGGGGCTGGGAGGTAGGGAGGGAGGGGTGTGTGGGGGGGTGGGGGTCGGGGGGGAACGTAGATCCAGTCTCTCAGTCAGTCTGTCTTAATGTGTTGTCATTTCTTCAAGTGAAGAGAATCCTGAAATTTGGTGCTGGTGTACCGGGCGTGGAAACCTTTCTTGCTGATGGTGTCATCGGTGTGGAAGCGAATGACGATGGCATCACCTGCGGAGTAAATCTCCTCCGGAGGCTGTGGGGAGGACGTACGAACATAAAAAATTACTATTTTGGTGGCCGGAGCCCAGGTGTCTTTCGACCGCGCAGAACCCATCGCCGTTGCTCGAGGCTCTCCAAACCAAACTGATGATCTGCCTCCCTAACCCTAACCCACCCCGTCGCCAATCCGCAGAGATAACAGTGGCAATCCCGTGCGCTGTTCGCGGGCTGAGCCGCAGGGGGACTACCACGGTACACCGGCGCGAAAGGGGGGGGAGCTTACCCCAGACCCACAGAAACGTCCGAGCCGCGGGGCTGAGTCGTCGGAGCCGTCGAAGAGCTCCATATAGTCGTAGCCGCAGTCGGCCTCCTCCTCGATCTCAAAGGTCTGGAAGATCAGCTCCACCCCGTAGCCCTCCTCGGCCTTCACCAGCCACTGGCAGCTGGCCCCGCCCGGGTAGTTATTGTCCCCGAATTGTGAGTGAGAGAACAGGTCCTTGGTCTTCACCTCAGCCTTCAGCTTCCCCCCACACTCTGCGCAGGCAAATGGCGGTTAGGGGGCAGCTCATTGTAGGAGGCCATTTGCCCCACCACACCCCCCCCCTCCCAAACACCTGGCCCCTCCCTTCTCACCACAACCACTGGCCCCCTCCCCTCATTACAACAACTGGCCCCACCCCCACTACCACTGGCCCGCCCACATATACCAGTGGCCCCTCACCACAACCGCTAATTCCCTCCCACCACAAACCCGCCCGCGCCCCCCTACAACAGCTGGCTCATCCCGCCTACCATAGAGGCCCCTCCCTTCCCCCCCCCAGTCCATGATGGGCTTTGGGGACGATGGCTGCCCCACTCCCCCTCCTGCCCCACCTCACCCGAGCTGTAGGCGGCTTCGAACCCCCTCTTCTGCACCGAGTTGTCAGAGAAGAACTTGATGAAGATGCGGTTGAAGGTGGAGGTCAGGGCCTCCGGCTTCTTGCTGCCGCACAGACGTCCCAGGACCTTGGCCTTGGGGTCTCGGCCGTCGTAGACCTCCAGGTGGTCGTAGGCACATTCCTGGTGCTGCTCCAGGTCCAGCTCACTGAAGGCCTGAACCACGAGAGAGAGAGATGGTGAGAGAGAAAGAGAGAGATGGTGAGCGAGAAAGAGAGAGACAGTGAGAGACTCGCCCTTTGGTTCTTGCTTCACCGAGTTGGCATTTGATACAGCGCCTTATCACGTCTTCGAGACATCTCAAAGCGCTTCACAGATGGTTTATGGGATGGAGTCGGAGGTGGGGGGGAATGAGTGTAGTGACTGTGTATTTTGTGGGCAAAATTCTGTATATTCCGAGGTCCTCTCGCTTGCGAACTGAGCGCTCTAATCACTGAGCTACAGGACACCTCCACAAGATTTGGGAGGGGGGAGTGGGGACGGAGGAGAGGGAACGGGGAGAGAGACAGAGAGAGAGAGCAGAGGTTGGGGCTGAGGTGTTGTGGTTGACGGTTGGTATTGGTGTCGGGGGTCGGTGTGTGAAACAGTTACAAGGTGAGCGCTGGGTGCGCGCGCGGTGGGTGTGGGTTCGGGTGACGGGCTGGTTAACTGGTTACCAGTTTGACCCGGTGACCGGGTGTGGTGGTGATCTCCCAGGTACACTCCTTGCGACTGGGATACTTGTCCGGCCAGTTGGGGCTGGTGATGGTTCCAGCTACGCTGTTGATCTTGTGCTCACATCCCGCTGTTGGGCAAACAAACAGCCTGAGGTCTGAGCTCCTTCTCAACAGGACACTGTTCCAACGCCCCCCCCCCACCCCTCTTTGGCCTCCCCCAGCTCCGCCATGTACCAAATCCAGCACGAAACTCCATCCCCCACCATCACCCCGGCCCTCGCCAGCCCCCACTGGCTCCCAATCACCCCCACTAACCCCCGTCCCCCCATCACCCAGCCCTCGCCAGCCCCCACTGGCTCCCAATCACCCCCACTAGCCCCCGTCCCCCCATCACCCCAGCCCTCACCAGCCCCCACTGGCTCCCTATCACACACACTGACCCCCGTCCCCCCATCACCCCAGCCCTCGCCAGCCCCCACTGGCTCCCCGTCACACACACTGACCCCCGTCCCCCATCACCCCAGCCCTCGCCAGCCCCCACTGGCTCCCCATCACACACACTGACCCCCGTCCCCCCATCACCCCAGCCCTCGCCAGCCCCCACTGGCTGCCCAACACCGTATGGGGCGACGTCAAGATCTTCGCAATCGTCTGCGGTACAGATCAGCCATGATCTGATAGAATGGCGGAACAAGCTCGTGGGGCTGAATGGCCTCCTCCCACGTTCAGAAGCAGAAAATGTCATTTTCTCCCCTCAGTCCCCTCTCTCCAGGGGCCTTAGTCTCCTCCCAGCGCACCCCCAGCCAATCCCCCCCCCCACACACACACAGACACATACACATACACCCCCACCCCCCCCGACACACACACACCCCCACCCCCGCGCTCACTTACCCTCTTTACAGTCATGTTGGTTGGTGTGGAGAGTGAAGCCACTTCGACACTGACACTCGTAGCTGCCAAAGGTATTTACGCACTCGTGCTGACACCCCCCGTTTTCCTTCGAACACTCGTCCTTGTCTAGACGCACAGATCGGCCGATCAACATCAACACCAACAACACACGTCCTCAACGTTATTAACGTTGCTGTCATTTTCGGTCGGCCGGGGGCACACGGAAACCCTTCACCGTGATCAGCCGGGTGTCTGACAGGCGGTTGGGATCGGGAGGGGGTTCGAGTGGGGGCAGGAGGGTGACCGAAGGCGCGGTCGAAGAGGGAGGAGGGTCTTGAGGCGAGCCTGGTGGATTCTGCGAAGCGCTTTGAGACGTCTCGAGGACGTGATAAGGCGCTGGATCAAACCTATATAATAACGAGCGCTCTCTCTCTCTCCCTCCCCCTCTCCCCCCCTTGGTGTCAGTCGTGCCCTGGTGTGAGCGGTCGTGGGCTACTACTGACTCACCTGAGAAGAAATGAGCCTTGAAGCCCCTCTTGGACACGGTGTTATCTGACTTGAACTCGATTCTCATGTTGTTGTACTGGGAGGTGATGACCTCAGGTTTCTCAGCCCCGCAGAACTTGCCGTGGAGCCTGGAGTCCGCAGACAGCCCACTCCGCACCTCCACGTAGTCGTACTTACACACCTGCCGCAGCAGCAACAACAACAACAACAGCAACTCGCGTTCGTACAGAGACTCTGGCGTCGGGAGAACGTCGTCCCCCCCCCCCACCCACCACCACCACCCGACACACAGCACAGCCTCACGCTGACCGACCACCGGCTGAACAAGTGACTGGCAAGTGATGCAATTTCACCCGGGGAGGAGTGGGGGTGGTGGGGGGGGGGGTGTGGGGGGGGCTGTATGTATGTGTGTGTGTGTGTGTGTGTGTGTGTGTGTGGGGAGGGGGAGGTTGTGGGCAGTGTATGTGTGCGAGGGGAGGAATGTGTGTGTGGGGTGGAGGTGGTGGGGTGGGGAGTGTGTGTGTGTGTGGGGGTGTGGGTGGCGGGGGGGTGATGGGTGGGGGGGCGCGGGGAGTGCGCGCTCACACATTGACGTGAGCTGTAAGTACGCAAACACTCACGTCATTGCCTTCCACCTCAAAGAAGTGGAACTGCAGGGAGATACGATACTGAGTGGGAGCCACCACTTGCCACACACAATTTTTGTTCGCTGGATATTCCTTGGGCCACCCGGGGCTGGTCAGCGACCCGTTCAGCTTAGTCAGGAACCCTCCACAGGCAGCTACAAGGCAAGAGACACAGTCACCCATTGCGTTGGACACCCCTCTGGCCTCTCCTCTCCTCTCCTCCCCCTCCCACAGTCACTACGCCGTTGTCGGAGACGATCGGCTGCCACGTCTCGCCCGCAGGACGCGCAGTCACTCCACTTTACAGTAGATTGACTGCGGAGTTCCCTGGAGCTCAGGGGTTAGAGCCCCCGCCTCGCAAGCGAGAGGACCCGGGTTCGATCCCCGGGCGGGTCAGGTCAGGGCAGAGCGTTGGACAAGTTTCCATTACCCCCCACCCCACCTCCACACACACCCCCCCACCCCCCCACACACACACACACGCCTCCGTTTACCAACAGTAAGTAGGAACCAGGTTGTTAGTGGATTGGTGGATCGCTTTTCCGGGGGTTATAATCCCTTCCGAAAAGAATAGAAATAATAATAATAATTTAGTCAATCAACCCACGGCTGTTTGTGTGGGGGACGCTGCTGTGCGCAATTGGCTGCCGCGTTTCGCCCACAAAATACACAGTCACTACACTTTACAGTGTATCATGTGAAGCGCTTTGAGACGTCCTCCCAGTGTGAAAGGAGCTGGGGTGGGTGGGTGGGGGGGGGGGGGCGGGGGTGGAGAGAGAGTGAGAGAGATGGAGAGATGGAGAGAGAGCTGCTGTTGTTGGAGAGTCCGTCCTTTGGATGAGATGTTAAACCTCGTCCGCTCCCCGTCTGTGCCCCGTTCAGGCGGACGTTCCCGCGGGGCTGTGGGGGGGGGGGGGGCAGCAAAAGGGACTCCTTCTACGCCGCAAAATTCTACGATACTAATCTCGTTGGAACTGGAGTCGGGCGGAGCTGTTGGGATGGGAGATTCCTGGTTTCCTGCTTCCACACTCCTGACTTTCCTTTGAGGGATTGGGATGGTTTCTGGGATGGAGTCGGGGGGGGGGGGGGGAGAGTGAGACCGGCTGTGGGGGGTGGGGTGGGGGGAGAGGAGCTTATGTGGGAATCTGGAACTCTCTCCCTCCCCCCCAAAAGGCTGTGAAGTGAGAGAGGAAAGAGAGGAGTGAGAGAGAGAGAGTGAGAGTGAGAGAGGGGGGGAGAGCCGGAGTGAGAGAGGGAGCAACGGGAGAGAGCGTGAGAGAAGGGGAGAGATAGAAAGAGTGAGAGACAGAGCAGAGCGCGAGTGAGAGAAGGAGTGAGTGAGAAAGGGAGGAGAGAGAGAGGGAGAAGGAGAGAAAGAGAGTGAGAAGCAGAGTAGAGAGAGAAAGGGGGAGAGACGGGGAAAAGAGAGAGAAAGAGTGAGGAGAAGGAGCGTGCGAGAGAGGGAGTGCGTGCGAGAGGGAGCGTGTTGGGGTGGGGGTGGTGGGGTGGAGAGGGGGGGAGTGGCGGGGCGGGAGGGGGGGGTGGGGGTGGCGAGGAGTTGCGCTGTGCTTGGCTGGTCACACTGGCTGCCATCGCTTGCCCTCTCACGTTAAGTACCGTTGAGGAGTGTTTGCCAGGGTCTGTAAGCCAGCCCGTGTACCCACGCCTGGCACCGCTGCCCTCTCACCCTCACAGCTCCTCTTGTCAGACGCCAGCTCGAAGCCGGGGTCGCAGGCGCACGTGTAGCTGCCCAGAGTGTTGACGCAGCGCTGCTCACACCCGCCATTGTCAGCCCTCGAACACTCGTCCATCTCTGCGAGAGACAAAAGCCAGAGCCGGGGAATGAGCCCACCTCGCCTTACACGCTCGTTACACTCACACTCCCTCGCGCTCGCTCGCTCGCTCGCACTCACACTCGCTCGCTCGTGCTCACTCGCACTCACACTCGCTCGCGCTCGCGCTCACACTTGCTCACAGACTCTCGCTCACGCAGACACTCATTTCCAAATACACAAACATCACATCACACGGTTGGTTTGGATAAAGAAGTCCCTTCAACACAACTGATATTCTCCCTCCACAAGCACTGCACCCAGCCAGTGTTACACACTCACACACACACACACACACACACAGCATCACACACACACACACAGCATCACACACACACACACACAGCATTACACACACACACATAGCATTACACGCACACATAGCATCATACACACACATAGCATCACACACACACCATTTCACACATACACACAGCATTACACACATACACACACACAGCATTTCACACATACACACAGCATTACACACATACACACACACAGCATTACACACACACAGACAGCATTACACACATACACACACAGCATTACACACACACACACACACACACACACAGCATTCAACACACAAACAGCCTTCCACAGTAGGTCAGTACGTGTGTGAGGGAGTTTATCAGTCAGTGTGACAGCGCGTGTGCAAGTGAGTGCGTCCGCGAGCGTGAGTGAGTGAGTGTGGGAGTCAGCGCAGCGCGTCTGAGTGCGCGTGTGTTTGTGTGTGTGCGTTTGTGTGTGTCGGTGAGCGTGCGAGTGAGTGAGTGAGTGTGCCAGTGAGTGTGAGTGCCCGCTCGCTCGCTCGCTCGCTGACCTTTGAAGAAGTTGGCCGAGAAGCCAGCCTTGTTGATGGATCCGTCAGACACGAACTTCATCCACAGTGACCCTGAGCTGGACTTGATGTCCTCGGGTTTGTCGTAGCCACAGAAACGGCCGAGGAGGGGACTGCGTTCAGTGCTGCCGTCCCGAATCTCCAGGTAATCGTACGCACAGTTGTCGTGTCGCTCGATCTGCAGTCAACCAGCAAACAGGCTTCATATATAGAGAGAGACAGAGTGAGAGAGAGAGAGAGAGCGATACACACACACACACACACTCAGAGACAGAGAGACCGAGACAGAGTGACAGGGAGAGAGAGAGAGACCGAGAAATAGAGAGAGAAAGAGTGACACATACACACACACACAGTCAGAGACAGAGAGGGAGAGAGAGACAGAGACAGAGTGACAGAGAGAGACTGAGAAATAGAGAAAGAGTGACACACACACACACAGACGGTCAGAAATAGAGAGAGGGAGATAGAGTGACACACAGAGAGAGAGAAAGAGTGACACACACACACAGACAGACAGAGAGAAAGACAGAGTGACAGAGAGACACAGAGAGAGACCGAGAGAGAAACACACAGAGAGAGACATACACAGAGAGACATAAAGAGACACAGAGAGTGACCAAGAGAGAGAGAGAGAGCGAGAGAGATACACAGAATGACCGAGAGAGGTAGAGTGATGCACAGAGAGACAGAGAAAGAAAGATACATGGAGAGGCACAGAGAGAGACTGAGAGAGAGAGAAAGAATGAATGAAAGAAAGAGAGTGAGAGAGATAAACAGAGAGTGACTGAGAGAGACACAGAGAGACTGAGCGATTGAGAGTGACAGAGAGAGAGAGAGACAGACCGAGAGACCATGAGAGACAGAGAGTGACTGCGAGTGACCGAAAGAGCGCGAGAGAGACCCAGAGAGAGAGCACAGCGAGAGCAAGAGAGAGAGAGAGAGACAAAAAGAGAGACGGAGACGCACAGAGAGACCGAGAGAGACACACCGAGAGAGATCGAGAGTGATAAGACAGAGAGGGAGACACACAGAGAGAGAAAAAGACTGAGTGACTCGAGAGGGAGAGTGTTACGACATTGGAGCCTCTCACCTCAAAGGATTGGAAGGTCAAACCCACGTGGAAGCCTTCGGAGACCCTGATATTCCAGACACAGACCTTGGAGGGACGGTAGTCATCGGGGTAATTGGGCGACTGAATCTGCCCCAGATCCTTGTGAATGTTCCCCCCGCAGATCGCTGGCGAGACACAGCCACAGTTACACACAGTGCCTACGGTCACCTCCCCGGACCCCCACCCACCCACCCCGGCTCAGTTTCGTGCTCCCCCATTGTCAAGCGCTCTGGGGCGCTACCCCCTGCGTGAGCGGGTGGGGGGGGGTGTATGGGGGGTGGGCGCCATGTAAAAGTTCCTATTGTTGTACCTTCGTAGACAGCGGAGAAACCTTTGCCAACGTTACTGCTGCTTCGGAACTCAATCCACAGGCGGCTGTCGGTGGAGACGAGGGGAGGGGGCAACCGGTCCCCACAGAAACGTCCTGAGAGAGAGAGAGAGAGAGATGTGAGAGAGAGAGAGAGAGAGAGACACAGATTGGTTTAGCGTTCCCCCCAAAAATAAACAGACAGAAAGACATCGTCCCTCACAGACAGATGTCTCTCGGGCTCACCCCCAAACCCCTTCCCCCAACTTATGAATAATAACAACAAGGAAAGCCTCGCGTTCGACACAGCGCCCGATCGCGTCTTCGAGACGTCTCCGAGACGTGTCAGGTGTAGCCACTGCGTATTTTGCGGGCGAAACCCGGCAGCCGATTGCGCCCAACGACGTCCCCGCAAACAGCCGTGGGGTTGAAGTGGCTAATTTATTATTTCTTTCTTTGAAGGGATTATGACCCCCGGAAAAGCGATCGGCCAATCGACTAACAACCGGGTTCCCGCTGACTGCCGGTAAGCAGAGACGTGTGTGTGTGCGCGTGTGTGCGCGCGTGTGTTTCCGTGTGTGTGTGTGTAATAAGGAAACTTGCCTTAGGTCCCGCCCGGGAATCGAACCCGGGCCCTCTGGCTTGCGAGGCGAGGGAGGGGTCTAACCCCTGAGCGAACAGGGGACTCCGCAGCTTCAACGCAGGAAAGGAGAAGAGGGGAACATAGGAACAGGAGTAGGCTGTTCAGCCCATCGAGCTTGTTCTGAGAGAGAGGGGGAGTGGGCGGGGGTGGTGGGGGGGGGTGCAGGAACAGATGGGCGAGCGAGGGTGGCAGTACGGGGTCTCGCTCTCGCGCGCTCTCCTCACCTCGCGGCAGCGCCTTCCTCCAGTATCCGTCTCTCACCTCCACGTAATCGTACCAGCACAAGCGGCTGCGGAACATGTCCATCGCTGTGAAGTTCAAAGTGATCTGAAAGCAACAGCCTGCGTTCAACAACAACAACAACAACAACTTGCAGAGCGATTAGCGGCGACGGAGCCTGACTCCGAGCCGAGGGGAGGGAGGTGGGGAGGGGAGGTGGGGAGGGGAGGTGGGGAGGGGAGGTGGGGAGGGGAGGTGGGGAGGGAAGGTGGGGAGGGAAGGTGGCCATAAGCGCAGTCGAAGAGGAGGGTCTTTAGGCGGGACTTGAAAGAGGGGAACATAGGAACAGGAGTAGACCATTCAGCCCTTCGAGTCTGTTCCGAGAGAGCGGGCGGAGCGAGGTGGAGGGATTGAGGGAGGGCGTGACAGAGTTTCGAGGGCGCAGCGGCTGAAAATGCGACCGATGGATGGACGGAGGGCGCGAGGGACCATCAAGGAGGACGAGGGGGGGCCATTCGAGCAGAGGTACTGACCGAGTGGTGGATTGAGGGGGGGGTGGGGGGGGGCGGTGGGAGGGAGGGAGGGAGGGAGGGAGAGAGGGATTGGAACACGAGAGTGAAAGGATCTTGAAGTCGACGGATTTATTGCCGCTTCCTACTAGAATCACGTCCCATCACACACCCCCCACCCCACCGCCTCCCCCGCCCACCACCCAGTGCCCGTGTCCCCCCCACCTCTCTCTCTGTGCCAGCCGCTGGCACCAGGCTCTCACCTTCTCGCCTGGCGTGACTGAGATCCGCCACACACAGTGGGTGAAGGACGAGTATCCGTTCGGGAAGCCGGGAGAGGAAAAGTTCCCTGAGGAATCCTGGAGTGTTTCGCCACAGGCTGCGGAGCAGAGCAAAGGCTCCGCGATTAGTGCTCACAATAATGATAATAATAATCCCGGCACTGGGACACGGGGCCTCATCACGTCGTCGAGGCGTCTCGAGGCGCTTCCGCACGAAATATACAGTCACTACACTTTGCCGGTGTGTGTATGTACGCGCAGGTGTTTGTGTGCGTGTCAATGTCTGTGTGTGTGTGTGTGTGTGTCCGTCCGGCTGTGTGTCTGTATGTGTGTGCGCGCACGTGTGTGTGTGTATGTGTGTAGGTGTATGTGCGTGCACGTGTGTGTGTGTAGGTGTATGTGTGTGCACGTGTGTGTGTATGTGTGTAGGTGTATGTGTGTGCACGTGTGTAGGTGTATGTGTGCAGGTGTATGTGTGTGCACGTGTGTGTGTATGTGTGTGTAGGTGTATGTGTGTGCATTTGTGTGTGTATGTGTGTGTAGGTGTATGTGTGTGCATGTGTGTGTGCACGTGTGTGTGTGTGGGGGGGCGGGTGGGGGTGGGGGGAGCGAGCGAGTGGGGCTGACACTCACCCTGACACTGGTAAAGCTTCCGGGCTTGAGTAATGTCGCCCTTACTCAGCCTCGTCCGTTGTCCTATCGGTGGCCGGACACCATTCTCATCATATCGGGGGAGAATCGTATCCAGGAATATACCCCTTAAACACAGAGCAAACAGCGCAACAGTCAGCGGAGATTTTCGGGGGGTCAACCGGGTGTCTGACGCGTACGGAAACCCCAAAGCCCTTCACGGGACGTATTGTAAGGTGTATTTTGTGGGCGTAAACGCGGCAGCCAATTGCGCACAGCAGTGTCCCCACAAACAGCCGTGGACCGAAGCGAACAAATTATTACGGTTGTGGTTCAGTCTTCTGAAAGGGCTATTCCCCCCTTGGAAGAGCGATCCACCAATCTGGTACTGGGTTAGGCTGAGCGGTGGGTGGTGGGACAACATCTGGTGAGAGGAAGCTGTGATATCGCTGAGTCCCGGGCAGGCAAGCGGGCAATGGGGCGGGGCAGGGAGGGGGGGGGGGCAAGGGAGGGCAGTGGGGGGCGCAGGTCGGGGGCGTGAGACCCACCTGGAGAAGGTGTTCCTGGCGTAGTGCATGATGCTGTCGAAGTCGTACATCTCCCCCAGCGAATCCACCTCCTCGGGCTCCATCTTCAGGAAGTTGTACTCCTGCCCTGAGAAGTTCGCACGAGCGAGAGGTTAGTCACCACCGGGCGCCCGAGGCGCCGGGGTGCTGCCTCGCTTGGAGGTGACGAAGGGGGGCGAATGAGGTCGGGAGGTCGAAGGGCCGGGGGTTCAGGTTGGAGTTGGGAGGCCACATTGGCGGTCGGGAGGTCAAGTTGGAGGGCGGGAGATCAGGTTAGGGGTCAGGAGGTCAGGTTGGGGGTTCGGAGGACAGACTAGGGGTCGGGAGGGTCAAGTTGGGGTTCAGGAGGTCAGGCTGGGGGTCAGGAGGTCGGGTTGGGGGTTCGGAGGTCAGGTTGGGGGTCGGGAGGTCAGGCTGGGGGTCGGGAGGGTCAGGTTGGGGTTCAGGAGGTCAGGCTGGGGGTCGGGAGGTTAGGCTGGGGGTCGGGAGGTCAGGCTGGGGGTCGGGAGGGTCAGGCTGGGGTTCAGGAGGGTCAGGCTGGGCGTCGGGAGGTCAGTCACCTGGTTGGATGTTCTCTCTGACGATGGTGACATGGTTGTCACGGTCAGGCCTGGTGTGCTCGTGCCAGAAGCCAATCACGTGGCCCAACTCGTGCACCACAATCCCAAACTTGTCACAGTTCTTGCCGATGGAGATGGCCTGAGGGCCCCCCCCTCGCCTCCCCACATAGGAGCAGCATCTAGAGAGAGAGAGAGAGAGAGAGAGAGGTGGGGAGTAACACTGTCAGGAGCTACGGAGTCAAGTCCCCTCTACGCTTTGCATCCATACTCCACAAATCAGAGTTAGAGACCCAGTAACACTCCCTCTACACTGTCCACACTCCCAGGTCAGGGTTAGAGACGCAGTGAAGCCTACTGTCCCCGACGTGGGGGTGATAGGGGCTCAAACCCACAACCTTCTCAGGCTGGGGTGACTGAGAGCGACTGAGCCCCTCACTTACCCACAGGGTCTGTAGGTGAAAACGATGTAGCTCTCCTCGTCTGTCCTCTCCAGGAAAGTGACGCAGGTATTTTTCTCCCAGTGCCTCATGGCCTGTCTGAAGATGGCTCTTTGGGCCCCTGGAACACAATAATAATAATAGTAATATAATAATAATAATATTTGCATTTCGCAAGATGAGATCAGATCAGGGGCGGGCAATTATTTTGGCTATAAGTCCATATCTTTTGGCTATAAGTCCATATCATTGACATTCGTTAAAATTAGGTTCGATAAAAACAACTCATTGAGCGGAGATCGCTTCGATATTTATTCATTTAGTCACATATTGATGAGAATGTCAGACGTTCACTCAACGGGAAGAGCGAAAGCGCTGATGATGTGGGTTAACCAGACAATTGAAGTCAGGCGTCGTCTCCGTCGTTGCACACGCGGAGCACTGCTGCAAGCTGGTCAGCGGTCATCGCAGATCTCCTTAATTTTTTTGATTGACTGAATCGATTTCCTTAATAAATTCTCCTTCAGAGATTGGTTCGCTGTTCGCGGCGATTTTGTGCGCGGTCGCGTCGCTCGCTCTTGTAACCTCATCCCGGGACGCAGATTGTTTTTTTGTGACAATGCTTTGCTCTTTGTGCATTCGAACAATCGTCTCAAGAGCGCTTTGAGGCGTCTGGAGGTTATTTGCAAGCGTGTTTGCGTGTTTACTTTGCAAATTACGCACGGCTTTCCCACCCGCGCCGGTGCAAAAATATTGAGAAGTCCATTCTTTGTGGAATATCCGGACTTCAGCGTCCGCTTTCCGCTCCTTTGACCGACTCATTTTGAATTAACGTCCTCTTCAGTGAAAAGTATTGCCGCGGTTGCTCGAAAATTCGCCGATCCGTACTACTACCGATGCTTCTTGTCCTGTAGCTCAGTGGTCAGAGCCCTCGCCTCGCAAGCGAGAGGACCCGGGTTCAATTCCCGGGTGGGTCAGGGAGAAAGCAGCGTCCCCACAAGCAGTCGAGGATTGAGTGACCGAATTATTATTATTATTTTTTTTGCGGGGGGGAGGGATTATTACCCCTGGAAAAGCCATCCGCCGACCGACTAACAAGTGGGACCCTACTTATCACGAGGAAAACAGAGGCGTGTGGGAGGGAGTGAGGTTTAACATCGCATCCGGAGAACGGCACCTCTGATAATGTAGCGTTCACTCTCTCTCTCTCTCTCTCTCTCTCTCTCTCCGCAGCGCTACGCTGGAACGTCAGAGTCCCTGACGTGTGTGGGGAGGGGGGGAAGAGAGAGGGCTCGAACCCACAAACTCACGAGAGAGGTGGCTGGGGTCTGAATCACAGGCTGACACCCTGTTACGACCCACGCACGAGAGTCCGTCCGTCTTGGCCTTTCCGTCTCAGCTGTTGCGGATTGGGTTAAATGTCCTACCTCTCGAGTCGCCGGGGATTTGGCCCTGGCTTCTCCTCACAAGGTCCTGGCACAGCTGTGAGGCCAGATGTTTCTATTCTAATGAAAACCATATCAATTCCCTATAAAGCTTCAACTCTCACACACTTATCCTTCCTCAAACCCTTTTCCCAGTTCATTAATCCTACTTATTTCTTCCCCCTTCCCCCACCACCCACCACCACCTCCCGACGTCTCCATTTCTATCTCTCACGTGGCAGCCCGTGGCTCGGTCACTCGCTCACTCTCTCTCTCTCTCTCTCTCTCGCCTCGGCTGTGAAGAGAGAGAAAGAGAAAGAGAGAGAGAGCTGAGATGCCGTCCTTCGGACGAGGCGTTAAACCTCACTCACTCCCCGTCTGTGCCCTGTTCAGGTGGACGTTAAAGATCTCTCCCGCGACGCTGTCGGGGGGAAAGAGAAGGGAGTTTCTCTCTCTCTCTCACACTCTCTCTCCCTCTCTCTCTCTCCCGGGGTGTCCTAGTCAACAATTCCCCCCCCCACCCCAACCCCTAACCCCAGATAAAATCGCCCTCTCGCTTCACGGCTGTTCGCTGGGACGTCACTGGGCGCAAATTGGCTCCAGTCACTACCCCCCAAAACTCTGGTACTTTCTCCCCCAATCCCTCCGCCTCACTCCCTCCCTCTCCCTCCCTCCCTCCCTCCGCACCTTCGAATCCCACCTAAAGACCGTCCTTTTGGATCGTGCTCACGGTCACCTTCCCCACACCCCCACCTCCTCCTCCTCCTCCTCCCGGCTCGGGGTCAGACTCCGCCACTGTCAAGCGCTCCGGGACTCTACCCCACGTAAACGCAAGCTGTTGTCGTCTGAACTCACCGGTGAAGTTCCCTCCGATCACGTAGGGAATCACTCCCTCGGGCCACACTCTCTCCGGGCGGGAGGTGGAAGCTCTTCTATTCCGGCTCCTCCCTCCCCCCTTCAGAGCAACACCTGGGAAAGAGAGACGGGGGGAGAGAGAGAGAGGGAGAGAGAGAGAGAGAGCGTTACCCGCATATAGCCCTACACGGCCAGACACACAGCCACACACAGTCACGCACACAGTCATAAAAAAAAATGTGAAAAGAATCCTTGCATTTGATCCAACGCCTCATCACGCTTCACAGGATACACTGTAAAGTGTAGTGACTGTATATTTTGTGGGCGAAACGCGGCAGCCAATTGCGCACAGCAGCGTCCCCCGCAAACAGCCGTGGGTTGAGTGACCGAATTCTTACTATTATTTTGAAGGGATTATTACCCCCGGAATCGACTAACAACCGGGTTCCTACTGACTGCTGGTAACCAGAGACGTGTGTGTGTGTGTGCGTGGGGGGGGGTTGGGGGGCAGTAAAGAAACTTGCCCCACATTTTGCCCTGACCTGACCCGCCCGGGAATCGAACCCGGGTCCTCTCGCTCGAACCCCTGAGCCACGGGGTTAATGTTCTGTGTCAGACAGAGTTTGGGATATCGGCCCTCAGCTTCTGAATTGCATCGTTGAGGCTCGTGGGTCACATCTGAGAATTATTATCATTCTTATAAACGGCGAACACGTCCCTATCGTAATGCGATAAGATCCTGACGTGTCACACACGTCCCACAGTGCTTCCCCGGGACCCACTGTAGATTGTAGTGACTGTGTGTTTCGCAGGTGAATGCGGAAGCCTCACTCTCTCCCTCCCTCCCTCTCTCCCTCAGTGTCTTGGCCGACAGATAAAACCCCTCGCTCGCTTCACGGCCGTTTGCGGAGATGTTGGTTTGTGTTTGTGGGCTGTTGGCCCACGGAACGCACAGTCACTACACTTTCCAGCGAATCCTGCAAAGCACTTGTGAGCGCTCGCTCTGCCTGAGCGGAAGATTCCCATTGACGTGAGGACCCAGTAGCAACATCAACACCAGGTGAAATCGGGTCTGGGAAGCAGCTGTGCAAACACAGCCCAGTTGTGGGGCCGAACTTTCTGCTGAAGGTGGACTTTCTTCCACCGAAATTGGATTGAGATCAACTGAGTTCACAACCACTTGACCGGACACTGGAGGTCAGAGTCCAGATGGCGGCCATTGTAGACACGGAGAGACATAGATAACCAGTTCGTAGGACTCAGCAAAAACCACAACGTCACCCTCATTGGGTGACACACCACTCCCTCTCTCCCTCCCTCAAAGCTCTCCTCAACTCCTGACCAGTCATTGGGGGCAGGAAATCCTTCCCCTCAGCTCCCATTGCAGCCAAAGCCCTAATGGCTCCTCCTTGCCCTCTCCGTCCATCCCCGAATCCCTCTGCCTCACCCCCACCCCCCCCTTCCCCCCTCGCTGGGATCCTCAGTGTGCTGTTTTACACTGTGCCCACCTCCCCCTCCCCTCCCACTCCCCCTCCCCCTCCCCTCTCCACGTATATTGCTGTTATTGTGAGCGAGTGGGATGTGACTTACCCGCCGTGGACTGTCCGGAGTTTGGGATTCTCCGACCGTTTAAGTCTCGGAACATTTTCAGGTCCTCCTCGTCCAGGGCGATGTCTCCCCAGAACGCAACTGCGGAAACAGAGCCATCAATTGTGACAATAAATGATAGCAATCCCCGCGTTGGACCCGGCGCCTTATCGCGTCTATCGAGAGAGACGTCTCAAGGCCCTTCGCGGGGATACACTGTGAAGTGCAACGGGTCGGAGGGACTGTTGATCGCGGTGACGGGTCTCCCGTGCGTGTCGGATACTCGGCTGAACAAACAACAAAGTGATGACTGATTTATTGATTGGCAGAGGCGTCGGTTGCAGTTACAGAGCCTCAGTATTTTTATTAAATCCCAGAGCAATCCGTCGCCACAGGCGGTCTGTACAAACACCTTCTCCGGTGTCCAGTTAGCGTCCGAACCGAAGGCAGTGGAACGCAGTTTTTCTCTGTGGGAGAGACAGGTTCCGTTCTTGCTTTAAACGGGGAATTGAATAACTATCAAAAATAATACGATAATAATCCTCGCATTTTAATGCAGCGCCTTATCTCGTCTCAAAGCGCTTCACAGGACGCACCGTAAAAGTCAACGATGCCCACAATCGGCCGTCGCGTTTCGACCCACGAAATGCACAGCCACTGCACTTTGCGGCGTATCCCGTGAAGCGCTCTGAGACGTCTCGAAGAACGTGATCAGGCGCCGGGTCAAATGCGAGGACGATTCTTACTACCCCTCTCTCTCTCTCTCTCTCTCTCAGCCTCGCTCCCTCCTTCCCTCCCCCCCTCCCTCTCTCTCTCTCTCTATCTCTCTCTCCCCACCTCTCCTGCCCCCAGTCAGGGCCCCATAAATTTCTCACGCCACGAATGAGCGGCTGAGATCCCAGTGCAAACATGGCAGCCATTGTCTCCCCTCCACGTCAGTCAGAGCTGGGGGGGGGGGGGGGGTGGGGGTGGGTTGGTGGAGGGGGGGTGGAGGGGTGGGGATATAAACATATCTCTATACAGCGTCTCTTTACTCTGTTTACATTCTTTTTCTCCATCACTCTACAATCTGTTAGCGAGGATCGTGAAACCTTAGCCAAGTTTCCTTACTGCCCCCCAGCCCCCCCCCCCCACCCCCCCCCCACACACACGCACACACACACACACACACACACACGCGCCTCTGTGTACCATCAGTCACTAGGAACCCGGTCGTTAGTCGGTTGGCGGTTCCTTATTCCGGGGGTAATAAACCCTTCCAAGAAAAATAATGATAATAATTCGTTCGCTCAATCCACGACCGTTTTGTGTGTGTGTGGGGTGGGGTGGGGGGGGGGCGGGGGGACGCTGCTGTGCGCGATTGTCTGCCGCGTTTCGCCCACAAAATACACAGCCGCTGCGCTTTACGGCGCATCCCGTGAAGCGCTTCGAGACGTCTCGACGACGTTGATAAGGCGCCGGGTCTGATTATTACATACGATGATACGATGGGCGGAAAGGGGCGACTGCGGGCAGACGGCTGTGGTTCTGGAGCCGGGTTTGAGGCAGAGGAAAGCCGGTTAAGTAAAGTGGTCAAACATGTGTCAAAGCAAACAAGTATTTGGCAGCGTTCGGATGGCTTGACTTTCAAAGTGTAGACGTGTCCAGAACCGTACTTCACACTCACTCCCTCTCTCTGCTCTCTCTCTCTCTCTCTCTCTCTCCCTCTCGCTCACTCACCTCCCTTCTTCCCCCATCCCTCCCCTCTCCCATGGAGAGCGAGAGAGAGAGAGAGAAGAGAGAGGAGAGAGAGAGAGAGAGAGAGAGAGAGGGAGGCTAGAATCCCTAACTGGTGATGATAACTCTTGAATCTCTCACGAAATACACAGTCACTACACTTTACAGTGTATCCTGTGAAGCGCTTTTGAGACGTCTCGAAGAAGTGATGAGGTGTGATACCAAATGCAAGGACTATTATATTATTATTATTATAAAAGGTCTTCGAGGGGAGGGGTGAGGGAAGTCAGTCTCGAGCCTATTTATCATCCACGCAACACAGGAATTCAGCGAGTGGACCTCTCGACCGGCTCCGGCCGTCGGGGTGTCCCCTCGTACTCTCTGCTCCACCATTTGGCGGCCATCCTTTCAGCCCCCGAACCTCCGGAGCTCACTCCCTCTATCCTTCCGCCTTGCCCACTCCTTCCCCATCTTCAGGTCGTGTTCGATCGTGCCTACGGTCACCTCATCCCACCCCTTTCCCCCCGGTCCGGCGTCCTTCTCCGCCGCCGTCAAGCGCTCTCAGACGCAAACCCTTTGTGAGGGGCGCTGTGTAAGCACCAGTTGTTGTTGTTGTTGTTGTGAGGTCAAGCGAAAGGTATGGAGATGCAGGTAGAGAAAGAGAACGGGCAGAACGATGGCAGGCGGAGTTTAACGTCGCAAAGCGTGACCGAGGGTATTCGGTGTTTGGGATATGGAGTTCCCTGTAGCTCAGCGGTTAGAGCACTCGCTTTGCGAGCGAGAGACCTGAGTTCAATTCCAGGCAGAGGGCCAAACCTCGGGCAAGTTTCCTTACTCCACACAGAGCCTAATAATAATCCCTCCAAAACCAAAAACAATAATAAATTGGTCATTTTCAATCCCCGACTGTTTGTGGGACATTGCTGTGCGCAATTGGCTGCCGCGTTCGCCCACAAATATACAGTCGATTCACTTTACAGTGCGTTCTGTGAAGCGCTTTGAGACGTCGAGAAGACGTGAAAAGCGCTATATCAAATGCGAGGATTATTATTATTATTATTATATTATTATCACTCTCCAGGGGTAATCATCCTGCAAAAAAAAATACGCAGTCACTACATTTTGCAGTAAATTCTGCGAAGCGCTTTTGCGTAATAAGGCACTTTGTCAAAATGCAGGGAGTATTATATGGGCTAAAGTTCAGAGAACCATTCGGAGGGGGAGGTGGGCAAAGAGGCCGTGGGTTCAAGTCTGTGAATCATTAACATCTCATTTGCTGCAGTCATTAGGCAAACGAGACCCTGGACTTTACTATGAGTGTCTGGAAAATAACAGCGGAGAGTTTTTTCCAGTTAATAATAATAATAATAATCCTTGCATTTGTTACAGCGTCTTTGAGACGACTTAAAGCGCTTCGCACGATACATTGCAAAGTGTAGTGACTGTGTGTTTTGTGGGCGAAACGCGGCAGCCGATTGCGCACAGCAGCGTCCCCGCAAACAGCCGTGGGTTGAGCGACTAAATTATTATTGTTATTTTTTTTTGGAAGGAGATTGTCACCCCCGGAAAAGCGATCCACCAATCGACTAACAACCGGGTTCCTACTGACTGCTCTGTGTGTGTGTGTGTGTGTGTGTGTGGAGTAAGGAAACTTGCCCAAAGTTTTGCCCTGACCCGACCCGCCCGGGAATCACACCGGGGTCCTCTCGCTCGCGAGGCGAGGGCTCTAACCCCTGAGCTACAGGATGTGATTGAGGAGTGTAAAATCATGACGGGGAACCAGTCGGGGTGCGTTTTGGTCAGCCGGGTGTCTGACACATGCGGAAACTCATCACCGTTGCTTAAGAGTTTCCAAACCCAACTGAGAACTCTGAGGTCCCAAACTACACGTGGAAATCCCAGAGAGAGATCGTTGTAATGGAATGCGCTGTCTCTCTCTCTCTCTCTCTCTCCCTGGAGTGATGCATCCTTTTTCTTGAGTGTGCGTCGGGGTAACTGCTGGAGTCTAACCATCTAAACCCACACACAGCTCCGGCCATTGATGTCGCTGTCTGGCCGAGCTTTCCCGCTGCTTGTCCAGCTCGGACCCCCCTCCCCATTAGTTAGTTAGTTAGCGCTTTGGCTGGGACACTGTGGCCCCTCCCGGCTCAGGAACCGGGGCTAGAGACCCTCACAGAGAGGGCTGACTCGATTTGCGATCTGCCGTTGCCAAACAGTTCAGCTTCAAGGAGATCCTGGGCACCTCCCACGGCAGATTAAAGAGTGGACAAGTCTTCCCTCTGGTAGAGGGATCATCACTGGTGCAGAGCCTTAAGCTCAGAGCCGGGACGGTTAGAGCTGAGGTCAGGATACAGAGGGTGAGAGGATGTGAGCCGTTCAGCCCCAGAGAGCTGAAGAGACCCAATTAAACTCCAGCAAACATTCCCCAAGCTTCCATGGCGGAAAAAAAAAGTCCCAACCGCTGACACACTGTCAGCCTTCAAACCTTCTGGGAAACCCGCAAAGCAATATTTTACAGCTCGTACAGTTTGGGATAATAATAATAATAATAATAATGATAATAATAATAATTTTTGCATTTGACGCAGATCCTTGTCGCGTCGTCGAGACGTCTCGGAGCGCTTCGCGGGCTACGCGGTAAAATAAAATAAAACGCACGCCCTCGCGAGCGAGAGGACCCGGGTTCGATTCCTGGGCAGGTCAGGACGAAACCTCAGGCAAGTTTCCTTACTCCACACACACACACACACACACACACATACGCCTCTGTTTACCCAGCAGTTAAGTAGGAACCCAGTTGTTAGTCGATTGGAGGATCGCTTTCCGGAGGGGGGAGGGTGTGGGGGGGGGTAATAACCCCTTGAAAAAATTATTTGACCACTCGATCCACGACTGTTTGTCGGGGACACCGCTGCGCGCAATTGGGTGCTGCCTTTCACCCCCCCCCCCCCCACACAAAAAAAAATACTTTTAAGGTACAGTTTCGCCCACAGAATACACAGTCGACTCACTTCACAGCGTATCCTTTTTTCACCCCCTTTTCTTTTTTCTAAAAAAAATTCTGCCACAAAAATAAAAGCGCTCTTCGGCTTCCAAACTGTTTGGTTCGTTGCCGGCGCCTTCCATCGGGGGAAGAAAAACCTCAGAAGGTGTTTTGAGAGGGCGAAGGCTTCCGGGGAAATGTTTTGGAAAGTTAAGGGAAGGGTTTTTTTTGGGGGGGAGAGGGGGGGGGAAGTTAAGACCGAGCTCGGCTCGGCTCGACTTGACTTGACTCAGTTTGGCTTCCAGACATTCCTCGAAAAATATTTTCGTGTGGCGGTGGTGGGGAGGGGGTGGGCTGGGGAGTTGCGGGGAAATAAAAAAAAGGGGTATTTTTTTTTCATTGATTCCCTCTGCGCTCCTCAGAGCTCGGGGGGGCAAGGACTCCTGCGTGCTGCGTCTGTGTGTTTGCACTCACCGGCTTTGCAAGGATCTTTGTAATCCACGTCTGCTGGGTCGGGGAAGTCTGTAAAGCTCTGATCGCTGAGCCCCAGGACTGCGAGGGACAGATTTAACAGCAGCATTCCGAGTCGCGTTGAACCCATCCTCGATCCCCTGTCGCCAAGAGATGGACGGGAGGCACCAGCGAAACGGGAGCAGGAGAAGAAGAATGAAAAGAAAGGGATAGAGAGGGAGAGAAAGAGAGAGAAGTGGGATGGGGGGGGGAGGGAAGGGGAAGGGGAAGGGATGGGGGGGGGGGGGGGAGAGAGAGGGAGGGAAAAACAGCTTGAAAAGAGATGTGGGAGGAGGAGAGAGAGGGGGGGAGAGAGGGGCTGGAGTATAGATCAACCACTCCCAGAGCATCAGCGGTGTGAATGAGCCGGAAACTCGGCCAAACTCACTCGGAAAGTGTTTTGAGTGGGTTTTAGCAAACGTGTCTGTTTGTGCTTTGGGCCTGGGGGCTCAGCATCGCGCTGAGGCCAGCATTGGCTCTGCCGCGCTCTCTCCCCCTCCCCACCCTCCCTCTCTCTCTCTCTCTCTCTGTCTTCGCTCTCAACCCCCACGTTCGCCCCCCACCCCACTTTTTTTATATCTATATATATATATACACACGCACAAAAGGGCCGCCTTGCAAACTCTTTGCTCTGCAGCGCGGCGGTTCGGTTAGTTTTCCCACACGGCACACGGCTTTCTCGAAAGGCTGACATCTGCCCCCTCCTCGCCCTCCGATCCCGCCCGTCGCCAATCCCGCTCGCGAGACCCCCGCCATGATCCGCAAACGAGCCTCGGTCACTCTCTCGCTCTCTCTCTCTCTCTCTCGCTCTCAGCGTTAAACCTTCACTCGCTCCCCGCCCCGTCTGTGCCCTGTTCAGGCGATTCAGTTAAAGATCTTCCTCTGTGTGGGGGGGGGGGGAAAGAGAAGGGAGTTTCTCTCTCTCTCTCGCTCTTGATCTCTTCCCTCCCCCACCACCCCCCCCCCCGCCTCGATGTCCTAGCCATCGGGGAGGAGGGGTGGAGGGTCCGTGTGTGTGTTTGTGTGTGTGTGTGTGTGTGCAGTGGGGCATCACTGTGTGAGTGCGTGTGCGTGTGTGTGTGTGTGCATGGGGTGTCACTGAGTGTGTGTGTGTGTATATGTGTGTGCATTCGAGTGTACTCGTGTATGCACCCGTGCAGGACATCAGCGTGCGAGTGAGCGTGTGAGAGTGCGCGTTCCCCGGGGCAACAGCGTGCATTCCCATTTGTGCGCGGGACATCAGTGAGCCCGATTGCGTGCGTGACTGTGTGTGTGTGTGTGTGTGGGGCGTGAATGTGCGCGTGTTGGTGTGTGCGTGGCGGGGCGTCAATGCGTGCGTGAACAGGCTGCGCGCGTGTGCGCGAGGCATCAGTGCGTGTGTTGAGCGCGCAGGCGGCTGCCGTTTGCTTCGAGAAGGAGAGGGGGCTCCGGATGTTCGCGGGCCTGTCTCTCGCCAGCCGTCCCACGCCTCGTGCTGCGCTCGTCAAGAGAACCCCTCGCGCGCAGGACGGAGAGCGGCCGTCAAACCAAACCCTCCGTGAATCACGCTCCTGCCCCTTACACAACAGGGCAGAGAGCACACGTCACCGACAGACACATCTGCCCGGCGTGTAATGCGATAATAATCAGACAGCGTCCTGGGGGAGTGGGTGGGTGACTGAATGTGGTCTCCTGCTGCGACTGTTTACACTTCCCGGCTCGGAATCCAGTGACCCATCGCTCTGATACTCCTTTGTTTGTCTCAAACGATGAGATTAAATCGTCAAATTCAGCTGTTGTCCAGTTCGGGAGACACCAAATGGCTTTGGGTGGGGGGGAGAAAGACATTGAAGCAGACTTCCTCCTCTGTGGGGGGACTGGGGGTTGGGGGTTGGGGGTTTGGGGGTGGGGGAGATAAGCGGGGTCTTCTCAGAGCTGAACCTGGCTCCAAGGTGACCTGTCTGCCCATGGGATGTTGGAATCGAGCCCCTTCCTCTGTGACGGTCTCGAGCCCCCGGTTCCTGAGCCGGGAGGGGCCGCGGTGTCCCAGGGCACTCGCTGCTGATGGCAGCACAGCCCGGCCCGGCTCATCGGCAGGACCTGGAAGGGCCGACCAGTCACTGGGGGCCGGGAATCCTCCCCCTCAGCTCCTGGTAACCCCACAGCCAAAGCCCTAACTCACGGGGAGGGGGGTCCGAGCCGGACAAGCAGCGGGAAAGCTCGGCCAGACAGCGACATCAATGGCCGGAGCTGTGTGTGGGTTTAGATGGTCAGACTCCAGCAGTTACCCCAACGCACACTCTGGGCTCCCCCTCAAGCCTTGGCTCTCACCAACCTGCGCCTAATACTCTCCGGAATTAGGTAAACGGGGGGGGGGGCGTCCCTCCAGGGAGAGAGAGCACATTCCATTCCAACAATCTATCTCTGGGGTTTCCAGGTGTGCTGCGACACATGGAATTCTCAGTTGGGTTTGGAGACTCTTGAGCAACGGTGACGGGTTTCCACACGTATCGGACATACAAAAATGAAGCAGACTTTTCTTACAGGAACCTCTTTATTGTTCGTCGCTTGGAGCCTGCGGACTCACAGTGTGATGTGAGGCGGTGGGTGGGCGAGTGAGGAGGCCGGGGACAGAGGGGAGAGTGAGTGGCTGAATGAACTGAGAGAGCAGAAGTCTCCTGTCATCCATTGACCATCGATCTCTCACCCAGTGCAAGACAGTCTGGAAATGTGAGGGTTTGTGCCTTTCGTCCACTAATAAGTTCTAGAGACGTTGGGGTGAGATGCTAATCGAAGTAGACTTCCTCCTTGGGGGTGGGGATGAGGGGGAATGGTAACCGGGGTCTCCTCGGAGCTGAACTGGCTCCAAGGTGACAAGTTGGAGTTCCAAAGGCTGAAGGTCCGACCGCCGATGGCGGAGAAGGCCGGAGTCCGCTGAGCGGAGGGAGCAGACAGGTCGATATGGATGAGGATTTTGGACTCGATCCTCTGGGGGATGGGGAGCCAGTGGAGCCGGGCTGCCAAGGGTGGGGGGGGTGGGGTCACGGAGCCCGGTGTGGGAGAGGACGCAAGTTGCAGAGTTCTGGATGATCTGAGGCTTGCGGAGGGAAGAGTTGGGAAGACGAACCTGGACGTGATGAATGCGCCGGCGCCTAATAATCTCTGGGATTAGGTAAGCAGAATGCATCCCTCCTTAAGGGTCTCGGGGATCTGAGGGTAGAGGCAGTGGAGGAGCCGGCGCTGTGGCGGAGGTGGGGGAAGGCAGAGCGGGATTTGAAGGACAGTTGGGGTTTACCGAGAATTGTTGACAATAATCACTGACAATCACAATAATAATCTTTTGCATTTGATACGGCGCCTTATCACGTCTTCGAGACGTCTCAAAGCGCTTCACAAAATACGCGTGTAGTGTAGTGACTGCATAGTTCGTGGGCGAAACTCGGCAGCCAATTGCGCACAGCAGCGTCCAAATGATTATCCTTTACTTATTTATTTTTTGGGAGGGATTATTACCCCCGGAAACTCGATCCGCCAACCGGGTTCCTACTGACTGCTGGTAAACAGAGGCGCGTGCGCGCGCGTGTGTGTGTGCGTGTGCGTGTGCGTGTGCGGAGTAAGGAAAGTTGCCTAAGGTTTTGCCGGGAATCGAACTCAGGTTCTCTCGCTTGTGGGGTGAGGGCTCTAACCACTGAGCTACAGGTCTCCACTGATAATAATCACTGTGTGTTTGGGGGGTGGGGGGAGCTGCGTTGAGGGGGAGGTCAGCCCTGACCCCGTGGAGTCCATTGCTCGGGTTGGGATGAGGGTCAGTGGGTTGTGCGCCCTCTGGTGGGGGAGTGGAGACACAGAGATCCTGGGCACGAGTGTGCGATTGCACAGCGAGTGTGCAAATGCACAAGGAGTGTGCGATTACACAGTGGAAGATGCATTTTTAAACCCATCAATGTGATCATCCCGATGTTTGACACACACGGAAACCCACCGATCAGACACCCGACCGGTCACGGTGACGGGTTTCCGTGGGTGTCAGACACCCGGCCGGTCACGGTGACGGGTTTCCGTGGGTGTCAGACACCCGGCCGGTCACGGTGACGGGTTTCCGTGTGTGTGTCAGACACCCGGCCGGTCACGGTGACGGGTTTCCGTGTGTGTCAGACACCCGACCGGTCACGGTGACGGGTTTCCGTGTGTTGGTCAGACACCGGACGGTCACGGTGTACGTGACGGTTTCCGTGCGTGTCAGACATCCGACCGGTCACGGTGACGGGTTTCCGTGTGTGTGTGTCAGACACCCGGCCGGTCACGGTGACGGGTGTCCGTGCGTGTCAGACACCCGGCCGGTCACGGTGGCAGGTTCCCACATGCATTAACCCCAGTAACCCCAAAAATTGGAGCGATAACCCCAGCCAGCTGCTGTTTGTGATGATTCTGGACATGGATTGACGTCAAGGTTGTGAGATCAGTCACCGTGAATGTCCTGTGAGGGGGCTGAGTGTTGACTCAGTTCCTCCGCGTGTGAATCACGGGTTCCCGTGTGTCTCCATGTGCCGATTAACCCTTGCTCCACCTTCAACCATGCAAACTCACGCCTTGCACTTCATAGGGAGCTTCATCACGTCTTCAAGACGCCTCTAAGCGCTTCACAGGGATACACTATAGAGTGAATTGACTGCATATTTTGTGAGAGAAACGGTATATTTTATGGGGCACTTACTTCTTATCCCTTAATACCCTGAGCTAACAAGTGTCTATCCACCTCTAACCCCATTCCCTGCTCTCTCTCCCTCTCTCCCACCCCCCCACCCCATAGTGTCTGTCCTGGGGCTCGTCCCCCACTGGAGCTCTCTCCTCTAATCCCATTCCCTGCTCGGTCCTCGTACTCCTGAAAAAAATAATTTTCCTTTCCAAGCCGTTGTGGACTTGGCGAGCACAGCCGGTTGAGGTTGGGCGTTCCTCTGTATAAATATTGTGTAATCTCTGTACGTCTTTCTGATGATGTCATATGGTTTGGGTTACATTAGGATTAGTGATGGATCAATCACTGAGCACATCTGAGACAAGATTGTCTTCTTGGCCCAACTGGGTGTCTGACACCCACGGACACCCGTCACCGTGACCGGCCGGGCGTCTGACACCCACGGACACCCGTCACCGTGACCGGCCGGGTGTCTGACACCCACGGACACCCGTCACCGTGACCGGCCGGGTGTCTGACACACACGGAAACCCGTCACCGTGACCGGCCGGGCGTCTGACACCCACGGACACCCGTCACCGTGACCGGCCGGGCGTCTGACACCCACGGACACCCGTCACCGTGACCTGCCGGGCGTCTGACACCCACGGACACCCGTCACCGTGACCGGCCGGGCGTCTGACACCCACGGACACCCGTCACCGTGACCGGCCGGGTGTCTGACACCCACGGACACCCGTCACCGTGACCGGCCGGGCGTCTGACACCCACGGACACCCGTCACCGTGACCGGCCGGGTGTCTGACACCCACGGACACCCGTCACCGTGACCGGCCGGGTGTCTGACACACACGGACACCCGTCACCGTGACCGGGCCGGGTGTCTCGGCAGCGACAGTTGGGGCTTCACCACAAGAACACCGCAGGCGAGTCAAGTGTACCTCCTTTGTGACCCGGTTGCCATGGGTTGCTAAGACCTCTTCGGAGCTGACGCCTTCCGTTCACCGTCACACACTCGCTCCTGGAGACGAGGGGAGGTGTGGAGTGGGAGGGGGAGGGAATGGAGCGGGACAAGAGGTGGGGCGATGGCAGAGATGGCGGGTATTGACCAGGGAGCCGGCAAGCAACAGCAGCAACAAGTTACACTTGTCTAGCGAGCGCCCTTCACGTCGGAAAGACGTCCCAGGGCGCTGGACAGTCGGGGGCTTCTTTTGGACCCGAGCTGGGAGTTGGGGGGGGTCAGGAGGGGTTTGGGGGGCAGGGGGAGTGGGGGTTGAGAGGGTGGCTGAGGGCACGGTCGAGGAGAAAGGTCTTTAGATGGGACTTGAAGGAGGCAAGAGAGGGGGTGAGGGGGAGGAATTGAGGGGTAAGTTCCAGAGGGTGGGGGCAGAGATGCCCGACCGCCGACGGTGGGGTGGTGAGTGAGCAGGTAACGGCTGGGGGGTGAGGATGCTGAGCGTGTCAAACCTGTCGGCCTCCCAGCTCGACAAACCCAACTCCTACATCACCGTGCTCTTCAGAGGTGAGGTCGGAGCACGTCAAGGGCACGCTTACACACGCCAAGCACACGTTACACCCACGCACGACGTCGTATACACACACACGCGGCAAAAACGCACGCCACATAAAGTATTGGAGGTGAGGTGTCGAAACCTACAGATGATAGTGATAATAATAGTAATAATAACCTTGCATTTGATCCAGCGCCGTCTCAAAGTGCTTCACTGTAAAGTGTAGTGACTGTCTATTTGGCAATACGCCAAACTGGAGAGTGTGATAACTAATGGAAAACAACAGAGAAATCATAATAATAATAATAATAATAATAATAATTTGGTCGCTGAATCCACAACTGTTTGCAATTAGTTGCCACGTTTCACCCACAAATCATACAGTGAATTCAATTGATAATATATTGTGTGGAGCACTTTGACACGTCTGGAAGTCATCAAATAATTATTATTATTATTATTATTATTATGGGGAGTCACATTGCACGAGCAACACCCAGAGACCTGGAGGAGTGCTCGACCCTGGGATTGTCCGCTTTCTCTCACCAGGGAAAAAGAAGAGGACAGCCTTAACTGAGGACGAGAGGCACGCTCGATGGAATGAGGTGAGGACCTTATACACCTGGTCACCAGGTGTCCGACACACACGGAAACCAATGCGCCACTGTCAAGCGCTCCGGGACGCTACCCTACGCGATGGCGCTGTAGAAATTCAAGTTGTTGCCATTGTCGTCTACTTTTTCTCTCTCTCTTGCCTCTTTCTCTGGTCTCCCATAAAGAAAAATGTCATGAAATTGCCCCTCCCCTCCTCTGCTGTCTCCCTACTCTCCCTCCTCTCCCCTTTAGAATAGAACCGTAGAATATTACAGCACAGAAGGAGGCCATTCGGCCCTTTGGAAGAGCTACCAACTAGTCCCACTCCCTCGCTCTTACCCCAACTAGTCCCACTCCCCGCTCTTACCCCATAGCCCTGTCATCTTTTCCTCTTCAAGTCCCGATCCAATTCCCTTTTGAAAGTTGTTATCAAATCTGCTGGCGTCCATCTTTCCAGACCGTAACAACTCTCTCTGTGTAAAAAATGTCTCCTCGTCTCCCCTTTGGCCAATTATCTTAAATCTGTGTCCTCTGGTTACCAACCCACCCACCAGTGGAAAGAGTTTCTCCCCTGTCTGCTCTATCGAAAACCCCTCATAATTTTCGACCCCTCTATTAAATCTCCCCTCAACCTTCTCTGCTCCAAGGAGAACAATCCCAATCCTCTCTAATCTCTCCACGTAACTGAAGTCCCTCATCCTCTGTCTTGTTCCCTCTCCTCTCCCCTTCGTTCTCAGACCCTGGAGTTTAAGTTGAAGGGAACTCCGTTGGATGAGAAATCGTCATTCCAGATCCATCTGAAGATAAACGACAAGATTGGGAAGGGCAGGTAACGTACTTGGGGATTGGGGGTGGGTTGGGGGTTGCGGGGGGGGAGGAACAGGGAAGAGGGGAGAGAGGTACTTGGAAAAAAACAATAATAATAAATTGGTTACTCAATCGTCCATTATTTTCGGGACTCCCACAAAACACACAGTCGCTGCACTTTACAGTGTATCCTGTGAAGCGCTTTGAGACGTCTCGAAGGATTGTTATTGCTATTAAGTTCAAAAGAAATGCTACTTTGCCTCCCACCATCCTAGCGATCGCCTACACATCTCAGCTTCTCTTTGTTTCCTCAGAGTCATTGGCTCCACCACCGTCCGTCTCCTCAACTTGATCGGAAATCAGATAAAGACAGTGAACTTCGACAGCGTGGCTCTGACCGACAAGAAGAAACGTCAGGGCAAGGTCCGAGTTCTGTAGTGTGTTCGTTCACGGGCTGATGAGAGCCAAGGCTTGGGGGTGGGGGGTGGGGGGTGGGGGTGAGGGGAGGCCCAGAGTGTGCGTTGGGGTAACTGCTGGAGTCTGACCATCTAAACCCACACACAGCTCCGGCCATTGATGTCGCTGTCTGGCCGAGCTTTCCCGCTGCTTGTCCGGCTCGGACCCCCCTCCCTGTTAGTTAGTTTGGGCTTTGGCTGTGGGGTTACCAGGAGCTGAGGGGGAGGATTCCCGGCCCCCAGTGACTGGTCAGCCCTTCCAGGTCCTGCCGTTGTTGGGGAAAAGAGAAGGGAGCTTCTCCCTCTCCCTCTCTCGACATCCTGACCGACAAACCTCCAGATAAAATCACTCGCTCGCTTCACGGGTATTTGCGATGGACGTGACTGGGGCCAAATTAGCTGCAGCCTCCGCCCACAAAACACACAGTCACTACACTTGACAGTGAATCCAGTGTTCAGCGCTGTGAGATGTCAACCACAGCAACTAACAGCGACTCGCACTTGTATTCTCCGGGAGAGTTTGTCCTCCTGAAGCAGGATAAGTGCAACGTTCTTGTTGGTTTCCGTGGCTGAAGGGTTCTTTCTCGATACCTACTTGTCGCTCCAGACGACGCTGAGCTTCCAGGTAGTCTACGACCCTCCGGCAAAGGCGAATCAGGAAAACCGTGGCACCGGGAAACAAGACAGCCAGGCCGGTAAGAGAGCTCAGTTGGTCAGACCGCTACCCCTCGCAAGCGAGAGGGGGTAATAATCCCTCAAAAATAATAATAATAATAATTCGGTCACTCAATTCACGACCGTTTGTGGGGACTTCGCTGTGCGCCATTGGCTGCCGCGTTTCGCCCGCAACGTACGCACGCCGGTTCCCTTCACCGCGGGACCATCGATGCGCTTTGAGACGTCTCGAAGACACGATCGACCGAGCTACCCCGCCCGAAGGGCTCAGCGAGGTACGGGCAAGCTGTCGTGGAACGTCAGCAATAAGTGATTAACGCGCGAGGTTTCGGGGCGAAGAAAACACTTCAGCCCATCTCCCCCCTCCCCTCCCAGTATCCCTTCCCTGGGGGACGGTGGGGGAGTGGTGGGGGAATAAGGTCCATCAACTATTGACTGAGATGGGGCGCGAGGGGATTGAGCCCTGGAGGGGGTGGGGGGGCAAGGGGAACGAGGGCGTAATTGGTGTCTCCGTTGCTGTAGGCCGGGAGAGGGAGAAGGAGCTGGCGGCGGGAGATGAGAGCTCATTGCCGCTCAGACAGGACCTGGCCCTCTCACCGGATCGGGAGACGGGCAGGAAAGTCTCCAAACTGTCCCGCATCCTCTCCGACAAGCCCCAGGACTTCCAGGTACAGCCGTGGCCATCACCAGAGCAACGCCACCGCCCCCCCGTCACCGTCACCATCACCATCACCACGTCACACGGGAATATCACCCGGGTAACTCCACACACACCGTACACCGTCACTAGGGTACCAACACACTCCAACATCACCATGTTGGAGTGTGTTGGTACCCTAGTGAGTGTCCACTTGCCCTGATTGAGATGATGAGTGTGGAGTATGGAGGGAGGGAGAGCGAGGGGGAGGGAGGGAGGGAATGGGCAATGAGGAGAAACTCTCCCTCCGCAGGTTCGGGTCAGGATTGTGGAAGGCCGACAGCTACAAGGAGCTGACATCCGGCCTGTGGTGAAGGTGTACGTGGGAGAGACCGTCTTCAGAACCCGGGTCAAGCGAGGAAACAACCCTTACTTCGAAGAGGTGAGGGTGGGGGGGAGCGGGGTAACCCTGGAGGAGATTTAACCCGGGCATTAAGGGGCATCAATCCACTCCTTGAACCCATCACCACACCCATACCCACCCACCCACCCCCTGGCCCAGCTCCACTGGCTCCCTGTCCACCAGCAACAACAACAGCAACAACAAATGGTGTTTACACAGCGCCTTTCACATCGGGAGGACGTCCCAAGCTCCCCCACCCGTCCGGAACTCCGTCCACCTCACCCCTTCTTTCCCCCCTTTAAAGCCTGTCTTAATAACCCTCCCCCCCAAAGATAATAATAATAATAATTTGGTCACTTCAATCCATGACCCTTTGAGGGGACACTGCTGTGCACAATAGGCTGTCGCATTTCGCCCACAAAGTCGTCGTCATTATTAAGACCTATCGTTATGACTGCGCTTTCCGTCACCCCCCCCCCCACCCCACCCCCCACCACCCCCTCTCCCTCTGCCTCCCTCTCCCCCCACCTGGTGCAAATGCAAATCATCCAACGCTTTTTTTCCTGCGCAGATTTTCTTCCAGAATTTCCACGGACTGCCCTCCGAAATCTTCAATGAAATTATCCACATTCAGGTGAGGGAGTGCTGTTTACGGTGAAAAAAAGAGTCACCGTCACACAACGCCCGTCGCTTTTCCCGGTGGGGGTGGGGGGTGTGATGGGGGGGGGGGGGTAATAATCCCTCGCCTCACTCAATCCGCGACCGTTTGTGGGGACGTCGCTGGGCGCAATTGGCGGCCCCGATTCTCCCACAAAAAGACACGGTCACTACACGTTACAGGCGCATTCCTGCGAAGCGCTTTGAGACGTCGTCTCGAAGGCGTGAAAAGCGCTGTATCGAATGCGAGGATTATTATTTTGTTATTGTGAGCGCTTTGAGACGTCTCGAAGACGTGATCGGGCACCGGGTCAAATGCCAGGATTATTATTATTATTATTATTATTATTATTATGTATAAAATTACAATATTATTATTAAATAATAAACGCTTGTTTGAAGGTTTTAAACTCCCACTCGCTCCGGGCTGACTCCATCCTGGGAATATTCAAGGTGAGTGTCTCAATCTCCTGGTTCGTCCTTCAGTCAAACCATCCTAATGCCCAATGCCCCTCCATTCCCAATCCCCCTCCATTCCCAATCCCCCTCCATTCCCAATCCCCCTCCATTCCCAATCCCCCTCCATTCCCAATCCCCCTCCATTCCCAATCCCCCTCCATTCCCAATCCCCCTCCATTCCCAATCCCCCTCCATTCCCAATCCCCTCCATTCCCAATCCCCCTCCATTCCCAATCCCCCTCCATTCCCAATCCCCTCCATTCCCAATCCCCCTCCATTCCCAATCCCTCTCCATTCCCAATCCCCTCCATTCCCAATCCCCCTCCATTCCCAATCCCCCTCCATTCCCAATCCCCCTCCATTCCCAATCCCCCTCCATTCCCAATCCCCCTCCATTCCCAATCCCCCTCCATTCCAGTTTCTCTCTCTCTTTCTCTCTCTCTGTGTCCTGGCTGTCAAACCCCTTCCTCTCCCCCCCCCCCCCCACCCCCACACCCCCACCCCACACACAAAACACACAGTCACTACACTTTGCAGTAAAACGTATTGAGGTGTTTGAACCGTCTTAATGAGGTATGATATCAAACGTGAGGGTTATTATAATTATGGAAACATTCCTGAGCTGTCGCATTTCTTTCCAATTTCAGCTGGACATTGGTACGGTGTACGATCAGCCAGGTATGTGAGGGCTCAGCTACACAGTCACACACGCGCTCGCGCACACGCACACACACACAGTCACAAATTGACCATCGAGTTGACCTAGACGCCAAAATGTCGCTGGCTTTCGTTTCCAATGATAACGGGAGCCGAGGGAGAGGATTCCCGGCCCCCAGTGACTGGTCGGCCCTTCCGGGTCCTGCCAACGAGCCGGGCCGGGCTGTGCTGCCATCAGCGGCGAGTGCCCCGGGACACCGCGGCCCCTCCTGGCTATTTGACTCTTGTTCTTACGACTTAAAGCGAGAGGGTATTTGGGGTGAGATTGCTGCCTTGTGCGAAACTCTGAGCAAAGACAGTGTCTGTCGGCAGGTCACGCAGTGCTCAGGAAGTGGTTGTTGCTGTATGAGCCAAACGAGGTCAATACGTTGGCCAAAGGCTACCTCAAGGTCAGCATCATTGTGCACGGAGCAGGAGACGAGGTGCCGGTAAGAGGAACGGATATTGACTTCATTGTCACCCGTCACCGTGACCGGCCGGGTGTCTGACACCCACGGACACCCGTCACCATGACCGGCCGGGTGTCTGACACCCACGGAAACCCGTCACCGTGACCGGCCGGGTGTCTGACACACATAGAAACCCGTCACCGTGACCGGCCGGGTGTCTGACACACATAGAAACCCGTCACCGTGACCAGCCGGGTGTCTGACACACACGGAAACCCGTCACCGTGACCGGCCGGGTGTCTGACACACATAGAAACCCATCACCATGACCGGCCGGGTGTCTGACACACATAGAAACCCGTCACCGTGACCAGCCGGGTGTCTGACACCCACGGAAACCGTCACCGTGACCGGCCGGGTGTCTGACACCCACGGACACCCGTCACCGTGACCGGCCGGGTGTCTGACACCCACGGAAACCCGTCACCGTGCTTAACAGTCTCCAAACTCAACCCAAGAGTTCCATGAACCCAACCTAGAATTCCTGTGTATTGGAATGGATTGCAAATTCTTTCCAGGGAGGGATACACACCCGGATTACCTAATTCCGGAGAACATTAGGCGCTGGTTAGCAAGAGCCAAGGCTTGGGGGGAGCCCAGAGCTTGAGCTGAGTGGGTTGACTCCCTGCCCCCAGTGACTCGTCGGCCCTTCCAGGTCCTGCCAATGAGCCGGGCCGGGCTGTGCTGTCATCAGTAGTGAGTGCCCTGGACCCTCCTGGCTCAGGAACCAGGACTAGAGACTGTCCCAGGGGTGGAGGCGGGTGGGGGAACAGGTCACCTTCACCTTAGAGCCTCTTCAGCCCCAAGGAGACCCCAATTACCCCCGTCCCCGTCCCCCCACCACCCCACGAAGATAGTAACACACACACAGACACCCAGAGACTCTGTGTGTGTGTGTGACTGATGGATGTGTTGACTGTATCAGATTGACAAGAAAGGAACTGAGGAAGAGGATGATGTGGAAAGTAACCTGCTCCAGCCGGCTGGCATCCACTCTCGTTGGGTAACCTTCATCATCAAGATCTACAGAGCAGAGGACATCTTACACAGTGAGTCTCATTCCCTCACACTCCCCGTCACACACAGACTCGCACAGTGAGACTCACACACACACATATATATATACAGACTCACTCTCTATACAGACATAGACACAGGCAGAGACTCACAGAGCGAGGCATACACACACAGACAGACACACACACACAGACACACACACAGACAGACACACACACACACACACATACACAGACACACACAGACACACACATAGACACACACACACACACAGACACACATACACAGACTCACAGAGCGAGACACAGACACACACACAGACACACACACACAGACACACACAGACACACACACAGACATACACACACACACACACAGACACACACAGACACACACAGACAGACACACACACAGACAGACACACACACACAGACACACACAGACACACATACACAGACTCACAGGGAGAGGCATGTACACAGACATACACAGACTCAGAAAGAGACAGACACGCGCACACACTCACGCGCACACACACACACACGCACACACACACAGAGTGACACATGAAATAACACTGACAGCGACACACACTGTATCACCGGCTCTTGTTTCAGTGGAGAAGAAAATTATGACAAATCTGAAGCAGTTTTTGGGGTCAGAGGCTGAGAGAAAGGAGACTGTGGATTCCTTCGTGGAAGTCAGTTTTGCTGGTAATAAGGTGAGTGTCGGAGAAAGTCCATCACCGCGATCAGCCGGGTGTCTGGCACACACGGAAACCCATCACCGCGATCAGCCGGGTGTCTGGCACACACGGAAACCCATCACCGCGATCAGCCGGGTGTCTGGCACACACGGAAACCCATCACCGCGATCAGCCGGGTGTCTGGCACACGCGGAAACCCATCACCGCGATCAGCCGGGTGTCTGGCACACACGGAAGCCCATCACCGCGATCAGCCGGGTGTCTGGCACACACGGAAACCTGTCACATACATTGACTGACACACACATACACTAACTGACACACCGCTGACAGACGCACACTGACTGACGTGTGCACAGCGTGTCAGTCAGTCAGTCAGTCAGTGTGTGTGTGTGACAGGTTTCCGTGTGTGCCAGACACCCGGCTGATCGCGGTGATGGGTTTCCGTGTGTGCCAGACACCCGGCTGATCGCGGTGATGGGTTTCCGTGTGTGCCAGACACCCGGCTGATCGCGGTGATGGGCTTCCGTGTGTGCCAGACACCCGGCTGATCGCGGTGATGGGCTTCCGTGTGTGCCAGACACCCGGCTGATCGCGGTGATGGGCTTCCGTGTGTGCCAGACACCCGGCTGATCGCGGTGATGGGCTTCCGTGTGTGCCAGACCTTTGGAGCGATGGCAATGTACTCGGAGAGATGGATGTTTGGAGAGACGAGAACTTATTCTATTCTCTGCCATCAGATCGCCACAAAAGTCATCGAGAATCAAATCAACCCGGAGTGGAACCAAGTCATTAACCTCAAGAGCCGGGTCAGACATCAGCTTCGCTGTCACTGCCGCGCACATTGGAGACAGTTTACACTCAGTCACTGACCCCAACCCTAACCCCAACTCTCAGCCCCAAACCCTAACCCCAACTCTCAGCCCCAAACCCTAACCCCAACTCTCAGCCCCAAACCCTAGCCCCAACTCCTAGCCCCAAACCCAACCCCCTCTCCTAGCCCCAAACTCTAGCCCCAACTCCTAGCCCCAAACCCAAGCCCCAACTCCTAGCCCCAAACTCAAGCCCCAACTCCATCCCCAACCTCAAATCTGTCTGTCTGTCTGTCTGTCTTTCTCCCTTTCTATCTCTCTTTCTTCCTGTCCCTATCTCTCCCCCTCTCCCTCTCACTCTCTCTCTCTCTCTCTCTCTCACACACAGTTCCCGTCCTTGTGTGAAAATATTCGGCTCACGGTGCGAGACCGGTATGTACGTCCACAGATACTGCACCCAATCTAACCCCACTCTCCCCCCTGCTCACCCCCAGTCTAACCCCACTCTCTCCCCACCCCCAATCTAACCCCACTCTCCCCCCTGCTCCCCCCAGTCTAACCCCACTCTCCCCCTGCTCCCTCCAGTCTAACCCACTCTCCCCCTGCTTCCCCCCCAGTCTAACCCCACTCTCCCCCCTGCTCCCCCCCAGTCTAACCCCACTCTCCCCCCTGCTCACCCCCAGTCTAACCCCACTCTCCCCCCTACCCCCAGTCTATCCTCTCCAAAAAATAATCCCTCCAAAAAGCAACAGCAACAACAAAAAAATGCGGTCACACAATCCGCGGCTGTTTGTGGGGACGCTGCTGTGCGCCGTCGGTTGCCCCGTTTTCGCCCCCAAACGTACAGTCAGTTCACTTTACAGTGTAACCCTTGAAGCCCTTTGAGACGTCTCGAAGGTGCGATAAGGCGCTGTATCAAATGCGAGGAATAATATCATTGTTGGTCATTTTTATGGCGTGAGGCGTCAAACGCGAAGTGACTGTTGTCCAGGTGAGTGGGAATAACGGTCCGGCTCGGTGGTGTTCATTCCAGGAGTAAAGGCAACAAGCACAACGCGCTGGGAACTGCGCAACTGAGCATCTCGAAGATCTCGTCAACTGGAACAGGAGTGGAAGGTGAGAGAGTGGGTTCCAACAATCTCTCTCCGGGGTTTCCAGGTGGAGGTGCGACGAATGGAATTCTCGGTCGGGTTTGGAGACTCTCTTTAGCAACGGTGACGGGTTTCCATGTGTGTCAGACGCCCGGCCGGTCACGGTGACGGGTTTGAGTGTCAGACGCACGGCCGGTCACGGTGACGGGTTTCCGCGCGTGTCAGACGCCCGGCCGGTCACGGTGACGGGTTTCCGTGTGTGTCAGACGCCCGACCGGTCACGGTGGCGGGTTTCCGTGTGTGTCAGACACCCGACCGGTCACGGTGACGGGTTTCCGTGTGTGTCAGACACCCGACCGGTCAATTTTTATTAAAAAAAGCAGCTGATCAACTTCCTGTGGTGATGCTGACTTCCTGTTGTAACGCTGACCCACTTCCTGTTGTAACGCTGACCCGCTTCCTGTTGTAACGCTGACCCGCTTCCTGTTGTACCACTGACCCGCTTCCTGTTGTAACGCTGACCCGCTTCCTGTTGTAACGCTGACCCGCTTCCTGTTGTACCGCTGACCCGCTTCCTGTTGTAACGCTGACCCACTTCCTGTTGTAACGCTGACCCGCTTCCTGTTGTAACGCTGACCCACTTCCTGTTGTAACGCTGACCCACTTCCTGTTGTAACGCTGACCCGCTTCCTGTTGTAACGCTGACCCGCTTCCTGTTGTAACCACTGACCCGCTTCCTGTTGTAACGCTGACCCGTTTCCTGTGCTCTGACACCAGGGGAGGAGTCAACGGGATTTCTTCCTGCTTTTGGACCCTGTTTCCTGAACCTTTATGGCAGCCCCCGGGACAGCAGTGACCGGGGCGAGAAATACGACGAGCTCAACACAGGCAAAGTACCTTCACCGGCGTCCTGACACCAACCCCGACTGATCTCCATTCATCTCCTCTCTCTCTTTCTCTCTCTCTCTCTCTCTCCTTCTCTCTCGCTCGCTCACTCCCCGCGAGATGGGATCTAGAACCTTATGTGGTTGTGCGGGTGAGCGGGTGTGAGCGCGTGTGTTGCCGTCGCTGTGTCGGGGCGAGTGTGGGCGGGCGTGGCCGAGTGTGAGCGGGTGTGTTGCCGTCCCTGTGTCGGGGCGAGTGTGAGCGGGTGTGTTGCCGTCGCTGTGTCGGGGTGAGTGTGAGCGAGTGTGAGCGGGTGTGTTGCCGTCCCTGTGTCGGGGCGAGTGTGAGCGGGTGTGAGCGAGTGTGAGCAGGTGTGAGCGAGTGTTAGCGGGCGTGTTATCGTCCCTGTGTCAGCAAGTGTGAGCAGGTGTGAGCAAGTGTGAGCAGGTGTGTTGCTGTCGCTGTGTCAGGGCGAGGGTGTGTCCTACTGTGGGCGGATCCTGGTGGAGTTGATCACGGAGACGGATGAGCTGCCGGAGAAGAAACTGGATGACCTCCCGCCCGGGGACTGCATCGCCGTCCAGGTACCACCACCACAACAACAACAACAACAAACTACATCTGTACAGAGAGTGACATGGACTCAAGTCCCTCTTATTTCCTTCTGCGGGAGGGGGGAATGGTCTCCTTGGGAGGAGGCGGAGGCTTCCCTTTGGAGGAGGGGTCTCCTTGGGAGAAGGCGGAGGCTTGTCCTTGGAGGAGGGGTCTCCTTGGGAGGAGGCGGAGGCTTCTCCTTGGGAAGGGGTCTCCTTGAAGGGGAGGAGGGGGAGGCTTCTCCTTGGGGAGGGGTCTCCTTGAAGGGGAGGAGGGGGAGGTAGGGAGTATGTAAGGACTATTTTTGCGTTAATCCTAAGAATTTCTCTATCGGTGCGTAAAGCGTAAGTTTCACCGTACAATTGTATTAGTCGCCCACAAAACACGCGGTCACTACGCTTCACAGTGTAACCCGCGAAGCGATGGAGGCGAAACGCGGGGATTATTATTGTAGGGCCTCCAGCGTTCCGGGACGCTGCAACTCGTCGTGGTTGTCAGCGTCCTTGTTGTTGCCGTTCTTGTTGTTGTCGTTGTTGTCGTCGTCGTTGCTGTTGTGCTTGAGGCTGTTGTCGTCGTCGTAGTTGTCATTGTCGTTCTTGTCGTCGTCGTTGTTGTCGTTGTTGTTCTTGTCGTCGTTGTTCTTGTCGTAGTTGTCTTTGTTGTTGTGTTTGTCGTCGTTGTCGTTCTTGTCGTCGTCGTTGTCGTTGTTGCAGTTGTCGTCGTTGTCGTCGTCGTCGTTGTTTCTTGTCGTCGTCGTTGTTGTCGCCATCGTCGTTGTCGTTGCTGTTGTCGTTGTTGTTGTTGTTGTGATCTGAGGGGTCTCCCTCTGCGCTGTTCTGGCAGCGGTTCCTGCAGTGCCGGAAGTTCAGTGTGTGTGCCACGTTTTACTCGGCGACGCGGATGCAGGAGGTACGGGAACCGGTGCAGTTCGAGGTCAGCGTCGGCAACTACGGTAACAAGTACGACACGTCCTGCAAACTACACGCCTCCACCACGCAGTACAGCCGCGCCATGTACGATGGTGAGTGAGCGAGCACACGGGCACACACACACACACACACACACAATACCCAGACTGTCACGCATACAGACACACACAAACACGCACACGCACGCAACACCTGGGTGGGTGAGTGGGTGGGTGGTCTGGGCGGGTGCGGTGGGTGGGCTGGTGGGCGGGTGGGGTGGGGTGGGTGGGTGGGTGGGCTGGCGGGCGGGTGGGGTGGGGTGGGTGGGTGGTCTGGCGGGCGGGTGGGGTGGGGTGGGTGGGTGGTCTGGCGGGTGGGTGTGGGTGGGGTGGGTGGGTGGGTGGGCTGGCGGCGGGTGGGGTGGGGTGGGTGGGTGGTCTGGCGGGTGGGTGGGGTGGGGTGGGTGGGTTTGGGGGAGAGATGAAGGAATGTGGGGTCACGGCTCTGACTTGCGTTCAGGGAATTACTACCATTATCTGCCGTGGAACGGTATCAAACCCGTCACCGCTGTGACCTCCTGTTGGGAGAACGTCACAAACCGACTCGAGACCCTCAACATCCTCCTCAAAGTCACCGATCGACTGGTGAGTGGCTACCCCTACCCCCCCCCCACCCCCCCCACCCCCCCACCATCCACCCCCCCACCCCCACCCCCCCCCCCACCCCCCCAGGCACACACACACACTCACACACACACACACAGACACACCCCCACACACCCTCACACACACTCACACCCTCACACACTCACACACCCTCACACACACACACACACACCCTCACACACCCTCACACAAACACACACAAACACACACACTCACACACTCACACCTTCACACACACTCACACACCCTCACACACACCCTCACACACACCCTCACACACACACTCACACACACCCAGACACACACCCAGACACACACCCTCACACACCCCCACACACACTCACACACACACACACACACACACACACACAGACACACACCCTCACACACCCTCACACACACACGCTTACACACACACACATGATCACACTCACACACACACACTCACACACACACACAGACACACACACAGACAGATACACACACTACCCCCAACATCTACTCACCCTCACACACACACACACTCACACACCCTCACACACACACACACACACACTCACACACAGACACCCCCACCCCCCGACCCCCACCCTCACACCCGCTGATGACTTTTTTTTAAAAGAAAAGGAACTTTGAGGGGGTCAAAGTGGCCTCGACTTCCGACGAGAACGTCGCTGGACTGTGGGGGAAGATGATCGACGGCGTCATCAAAGACTGTAGGTCAGTGTTACACACACACACACATCTCACACACGCGCTCACACTCACACGTACACTCACACACACGCACACACGTTCTCGCATACACACACACACTTCTCACACACACGCTCACGCTCACACGCACACACACACATCACACACTCACACACATTCTCGCATACACACACACACACTTCTCACACTCGCGCTCACACTCACACGCACACTCTCACGCCCACTCACACATACAATCACACACAGACACACACACTCACGCACACATCACACGCGCACACACATTCTCGCATAATACACACACACACACACACTTTCTCACTCACACACTCACTCCAACACACACTCACACACACACACAGTGACACAGTGTGCGCGCGGGTGAGACACGTGTTGGTGCGCTCGGTGCCACGTGTTGACCGGCCATTGCTCTGCACCCTCCTCTTCGACCGCGTCTTCGATCACCCTCCACCCCCTCCTGACCCCAACCCTCGACTCGGGTCCAAATCCCACGAGTCTCCAGGGCTTTGGGACGTCCTCCCGACGTGAAAAGCGCTGCGTAAATCTCATGTGTTGTTGTTGTCCTGACGTGAACGCACTCTCTCCCTCGTGCTCTCTCTCTCTCTCTCTCTCTCTCTCTCTCATATCTTTCTCTCGTCCTCTCTCTCTCTCATCTCCCCCTCTCTCATTTCTCTCTTCTCCCCCTCTCTCTCTCATCTCTCTCCCTTTCTCTTCTCTCTCTCTCTCTTCTCCCTCTCTCTTATCCCTCTCTCTCGCTTCTTCTCTCCCTCCCTCTCATCTCTCTCGCTCTCTCTCCCTCTTTCTCATCTCTCTCTCTCTCCCCCTCTCTCTCATCTCTCTCCCTCTCTCCCTCTCTCCAGCCGCCCTTTGCCGGAGCCCGAGACCCTGCCCCACGTCACTGTCCTCGACCACCACCTGCACCAGCTCCGCTCGGCTGTGCTCCGTAGACTCCGTCGGGCGGCCAAGAAACTGAAGGAGGAGGGTGACAGTGTCCAGGGCTCTCTGCCTCAGGTGGAGGAGTGGATCGAGGCACTAACCACCATTGCCGAGGAGGTCAGTCACTTGCCCGGCTTCCCCTCTCCTCTCCACGGCGACGTCCCCACAAACTGTCGCGGTTTGAGTGACCGAATTATTATTATTATTATTTTTCAATGGATTAGTGCCCCCCACCCCCCACCGCCCCCCCCCCGGACAGCGATCTATCAGTCGACTAACAACCGGGTTCCTACTGACTGCTGGTAAACAGAGGCGTGTTTCTCACACACACTCACACGCATACACCACCCCCTCAAACACTCACGTACACTCACACGCACTCACACACACACAGACACTCACACGCACTCACACACACACAGACACTCACATACACACACATACACACACTCACATACACTCACACACACTCACACATGCACACATACACCCACCCTCTCAAACACTCACATACACTCACACACACACACACTCACAGTCACTCACACACACCCACACACACACACACAGAGTATATAGCGCAGGGGTGGGCAAAATACGGCCCGCGGGCCTTATCCGGCCCACCAAATGATTCTCTCCGGCCCGTCAGTGTGTCTCCCAATAGAAAACATTATAGTTGGTTTCAGTCCCAGAAAGTCCCGCAAATTCCGCATTTGAATCAGACCGGGAACACCGGCCAATCGCACGGCTCAGTTGCGCGCACGTTCCCTGAAGGGCTGAATCGGGCCGAGGTCAGAAATGTAGGGATCGGCGAATTTTCGAGCCACCGCGGCAACGCTTTTCACTGAAGAGGACGTGAATTCGAAACGGAGTCGATCAAAGAAGCGGGAAAAAGTGGACCCCGAAGGCCGAATATTCCACCAAGAATGGACCTCTACGTAGTTTTGTTACCGGCGCGGGCGGGAAAGGCTATGGCTTGATTGGCAAAGAAAGTGGCGTCGGTGCTCAAAGGCTACTTCAACTCGAACGGCCATTTTGAGAGCAACCGCGCTCGCAAGCGTAAGAACGTTTCCGCCGAAGAAGGAGGACGAGGCGGTCGCTCGAAGCCACAGAGGCCAAAGCGTTTCCGCAAAACAATTTGCGTCCCAGGATGAGGTTACGAGAGCGAGTCACGAGATTGCGCAGAAAGCCGCCACGAAGCGCGAACCAATCTCTGAAGGAGAATTTCTAAAGGAACGTGTGGTTGACTCTGCCTCAATTTTAGGTCCGGACAAGAAAAAAAAAAGTTTGGCAAAGACGCAGCCAGTTGATGACTTTTCGTTCGAGGCATCGCCAAACATTTTGAGCTCACAGAAGAATCGGCATCGATGCGGTCAATGAAAGGTCCGACAACCGGAGAAGACTTTTTGGAGGCAGTAAGTAAGTGTAGCTTAAAATTAGGAGCGTTGTGGAAAAAATTGGGGAAATGCGACCACCGACGGACGCCCAAATCGGACAGGCAAAAATGTTGGGTTACTGAAAAGAATTCGAGATCAAGTCAAAGAAACAAATCCGGAGCAGAGTATTGTTTTTCTACACTGCATTATCCGCCAAGAGGTCCTCTGTGAGAGTGTTCTAAGACGAAGCAATGTCGTGTGGACACAGTTACGAAAGTGGTCAACTACATTCGAGCAAAAGGATTAAACCACAGGCAATTTGTAGCTGGGCTTGAGGAATTGGAATCCGAGCGCACGGATGTTCTGTATCCCAGTTTTTACGCCTCTCCTTAATGATTATACCTTTCCAAAAATAAAGCCTCGTGCCTGGAGGATGCTCGCGCTGTTTGGATCAACATACAGACGCGAGGAGACAGTTTCTGTGATGAAATTCAATCGATCCAAACAGAGCTCTGCGATGACCGCTGACCAGCTTGCAGCAGTGCTCCGCGCTGCAACGACGGAGACGACGCCTGACTTCAATTGTCTGGTTAACGCACATCATCAGCGCTTTCGCTCTTCCCGTTGAGTGAGCGTCTGACATTCTCATCAATATGTGACTAAATGAATAAATATCGAATCGATCTCCGCTCAATGAGTTGTTTTTATCGAACCTAATTTTAATGAATGTCGATGATATGGACTTCACAAGTGTAAGACTTATTTTGAGCTCTTATTAAGCGTTTGCGTCTATGTTTGCGTCTGTAAGCGAAGCTTACCAAAACTCGCCAGCCAAAATAATTGCCCGCCCCTGAGGTCGCGTAAGGAAACTTGCCTAAGGTTTCGTCCTGACCGGGAACCGAACACAGGTCCTCTCGTTTGCGAGGCGAGGGCTCGGTAACCCCTGAGCTACAGGAATTATTTGTGGGGTTTAACAAGGACGGTGTTATGGGGGTGTCTGACAAGCGGGGGGACGCACAGAGTGACCAACCCCCTCTCTCTCTCTCTCTCTCTCTCTCTCTCCCTTTGTCTCTGGCCTCCCTCAGCCGCAGAACGGTTTGCCCGACGTGATCGTTTGGATGCTGGTGGGCGAGAAGCGAGTGGCGAGCGTCCGGATCAAAGCTCACACCGTGCTGTACACCAGAACCAGCTCCTTCTCTTCGGGGCAGTTCTGCGGAAGGCTCCAAACCGTCTTCCTCAAGGTACTCGCTCCCGGACGCCACCCACCCGCGGGGTAAAGGTTTCGCCCTGATCTGACCCGACCCGCCCGGGAATCGAACCCAGCGTCCTCTCGCTCGCGACCGCTGAGCTACAGGGATGGGATGGGGTGTTCAGGCTAAGAGCGGGGGGGGAATTTGTGGCGCGTGACCTCTGTCCCATGGCCTTGATGTGTCCTCCGCAGTACCCGATGGACAAGAGCTCTGAGAAGCGCAGTGCAGCCCAGCTCAGGCTCAGGGTGTGGATGGGTTTGGCCACCGACGAGACGGAGTTTGAGAAGTTCACAGAAGGGAAGTTTTTCGTTGCGGCCGAGAGGGTGAGTTTAGCCCGAATCCTCCCCCCTCTACCCCCTTCCCCCCTCCCCCACCCGTCCTTCCCTCATTGCCCTGTCCAACCACCACCCCCCACACCCCCTCCACCCCTCCAATTGCCCGTCCCATCCCTCGCTGGCACAGATTCTGCCCCTAATATAGTGGAGTCTGAGCCCCAGCCAGGGCGGAGAGGGAGGGGGGAGTGTGCGTGTGATTGGGAGCCAGTGGAGCCCGGCGAGGGCTGGGGTGATGGGGGTACCAAAAACCCTGACTGTCCAGCGACCTGGGACATCTTTCCGATGCGGAGGGCGCTATTCCAAGTGTCGTTTGTTGTCGGCGTTATTGTTCTGGGGTATTAACGCCCTCTATCTGGAGCTGGAGTACCATTACTCTCGCTCTGGCTTAGGAGTATTAATGCTCTCATTGGTCTCCAGTATGAAAACCAGGCGAAGGTGATGGGTCACTGGGGTACCAGTGGACTGTTCCAGCACCCGCCTTTCTCCGATGCGATGGGCAAGATCCGATTGTCCAAGAAGGACTTCCACCCCCTGAAAGGCTGGCAGTGGGACGGCAAGTGGACCATCGATCCCGAGAGGTGGTGAGTGCAACGGAGGGGGTGTGGATTGTGAGGGACGTGGGAGTTGGGAGGGGGGGGTCGGGGGCGAGGGGTTGGAACCCAAACGTTGGGAATTGACGTGGGAATCGTCACAGCCACTGATTTAACATTACGCCGGTCCAACCTTCTGAGAAACATTATTTTGCTTTTCCCTTCCCTTCCGGAAACATAACCTAACGTTTACGGGTTACTGAGTGGGCGAGTGGGCCACGGGAAATGGAGGGAGGGGCTGGGGATGGATGAAACTGGCTCGCGGGCTGGATGCGGCCCGCGGGCCGCCAGTCGGATCACCCTGCCCTGAAGAAGATCACTGATTGATTTCCTGGCTGTCGGGATATTGCTGCTGCGTGTGAACTCACTGCGACTTACCATATACCCCGCGGAGGTGTCCTCCTGAAGTGAAAGGCGCTAGAGATCAATCGTAAGGATTATTATTATATCATTATTTGATACCAGTTGTGGAGATGGATACCACAGGTCCTCTCTCTCTCTCTCTCTCTGTCTCTCCGTGTCTCCGCAGTTTGCTGTTTGACCCCGACGCGGGACACAACGAGTTTATGGACGAGGTGTTCGAGAACGAAGCGCGCTCGGTGGAGGAGGAGTGGGGTCCAGCTGCCGAGCAATACACAGACATTGTGGGTATCTCTCGCGCTCTCTACTCACCTCGGGGTTAGAGGCTTAGTGTCTGACACACACGGAAACCCATCACCATGTTTAAAGAGTCTCCAAACCAGACATAGTTTCACTCTGCAGTGTTGTGAGACATCTCCCGCCGGAAGACTTATGGCTCGGAGTCAGGCGCCGCCACTGTTAAGCGCTCTGAGGCGCTACCCTACCTGGAGGGCGCTATATACGTGCAAGTTGTTGTTGTTGTTGTTGTTGAACAAGGCGCAAAGATTGTTATCACGATCCCGTGATCTTCTGAAGATTCCCGTTGGGTCCCGATCCTCTGTTCCCGTCCAGTCTTTTCCTCCCCGCCTCCGTTGTTCCTCGCGTCGGTTCTGGGAGTTCCGGGATCCGTTGCGGAATCTCGTTCCCGGGATCAGGCGGTGGATTTTTTTCCCCGTGTCTTTCAGAAAGGCCGGAAACACCTGTCAAAGGAGGAGATGGAAATGCCGGCCGGGTGGAGATACCAGGAGCCATGGACAACCGATATTAACCGGGCAGTGGATGAGAACGGTGAGTGCCAACATTCAGCCCGGATCGGTCGCTGGGTCTACGTCTCCGGGTCAGGGGTTTGTGGGTTTGATTCCCCCAACCCGTCGGGGACTTTGAGCTCACCGTCCAGGATGATGCTCCAGTCCAGTGCTGGGGGTGGGGGGGGGAGAGAGAGTGTGAGAGAGAGAGTGTGTGAGAGAGAAGAGAGAGAGAGAGAGAGAGAGAGAGAGAGCATTGTCGGAGGTGAGGCTCTTCAGGTGAGACATCAAACCTCACTCACTCCAAGTCACAGAGGATGGGCACGATTCTGACGTCCCTATAGCAAGCACATCACCTTAATGGCAGTTCAGCCCAGAGGACCCCACTTCCCCCCTCCTCCTCCTCCTCCTCCTCCCCCTATTACGAGACCCCACTCACTCCCCCACCCCACACCCCCAAGAAATGGTCAGATCGGCTGGTCAGCCTTTGCCTCTGAACGATGGCTCTGGCTGTGGTGGGTTGGGGTGGGTTGGGCGGGGAGGGGGTGAGTAGTCGGAGCTGTGTGTGTGTGGGGTGGTGGGGGAGTGGGGTGGGGGGGAGGAGGGGGGGGGGTTCTGTCGGCCGCTGACCTGTGCCCCCCTCTCCTGAGCCGTGCTCTCCTGGTGTCCAACAGGCTGGGAGTACGGGATCATTGTGCCCCCAGACAAGCAGCCCAAGTCCTGGAATCCCAGCGAGAAAATGTACCACAACCACAGGCGGCGGCGCTGGGTACGAAGTCGAGTCCGGACGGCAGAGAAATCTCCAGCAAAGGTAACACCGCAGCCCCCCAAACCCCTACCCCCAACCCCACCCACCACCCCCTCCCTCCCTCCCTCCCTCTGATAATAATAACCACCATATCAATAATAACTATAATAACGACGGTGATGACGGTAATAATCCTCGCACTCGACTCAGCCCCTTCTCGCGTTCTCAAAGCGCTTCGCGGGTTGCGCCGTAGAGTGCGGTGACTGTGCGTTCTGTGGGCGAAACGCGGCAGCCAATTGCGAACAGGGGCGGCCCCCGCAAACAGCCGTGGGGTTGAGTGGCCGGAGGGTGCAAGTCGTTGTTGTTGATGTCGTCGTCGTCTGGTTTGGGATGTGGATGATGGTTAGGTTCCCGGTGTGTTCCAGAAAGCCCTGGATGAGATTAACGCGGAGGGCTGGGAATACGCTCCTCTGTTTGGTTGGAAGTTCCACGTGAAGCAGCAGAAGACGGACGCCTACAGGCGCAGACGCTGGCGGAGGATCATGATCCCAGAGCAGCCGATTGGCGTGGAATCCATCTTCAAGCTGGAGGGTTCCGTGGTACGTCAGTGAGATTTTTTTTCTATTTTTTGGGGTCTGACCCCCGCGGAAACCCGTCACCGCGACCAGCCGGGTGTCTGACACGCACGTGGAAACCCGTCACCGCGACCAGCCGGGTGTCTGACATGCACGGAAACCCGTCACCGCGACCAGCCGGGTGTCTGACATGCACGGAAACCCGTCACCGCGACCAGCCGGGTGTCTGACATGCACGGAAACCCGTCACCGTGACCAGCCGGGTGTCTGACCCCCGGGGAAACCCGTCACCGTGACCGGCCGGGTGTCTGACACACGCGGAAACCCATCAGTGGGGGCATTGGTGAGCGTGTGACTGTGCTGGAAAGAGCTGCTCTATCACAGAGCCTCGGAGAGGGTTGAGGGGTGGGGGTTGAGGGGAGCACACAGAGGGGTGAACGCCGGGACCCAAGTTGTTGTTGTTGTTGTTATTGTTGTTGTTGTTGTCGTCGTCGTTTCCTCCGGGAATCTTCCCAGTGTAAGAAACGGAATGCCGAGGACTCGGAGGAGGAGGACGGTGAGAAAAAGAGCACGGACGTCCAGGAATTCTACGGGATGACGGCTCCCTTCATATCCTGTATCCTGGAGAGTGAGTGTGAGGGGGGAGTGGGGGTGAGGAGGAGGGGGGGGGTGACACATACACACGCACGCACACACACACACAACCGCGCTGAGCCGGGTTGACACACAAACACACACACATGCGCTCTCTCTCTCTCTCTCTCCTCTCTCCGCAGTGTCCGTCCTGTTCCAGTTGCGAGCCTACATTTACCAGGCTCGAGGGCTCCTGCCACAGGACAGGAGCTGCTCTTCAGGTGAAGGCCAGAGCCTGGAGTCACGAGCGAGGGGGAGAGTGGGTGGGCGAGGGGGAGAGATTGGGTGGGCGAGGGGGAGAGTGGGTGGGCGAGGGGGAGAGATTGGGTGGGCGAGGGGGAGAGTGGGTGGGCGAGGGGAGAGTGGGTGGGCGAGGGGGAGAGTGGGTGGGCGAGGGGGAGAGTGGGTGGGCGAGGGGGAGAGATTGGGTGGGCGAGGGGAAGAGTTGGTTGGCGAGGGGGAGAGTGGGTGGGCGAGGGGGAGAGTGGGTGGACGAGGGGGAGAGTGGGTGGGCGAGGGGGAGAGTGGGTGGGCGAGGGGGAGAGAGTGGGTGGACGAGGGGGAGAGTGGGTGGGCGAGGGGGAGAGTGGGTGGGCGAGGGGGAGAGAGTGGGTGGGCGAGGGGGAGAGTGGGTGGGCGAGGGGGAGAATGGGCGCCACGAGGCGAGAGACGGTGTGTGAGGGGGGAGCGCGGGCGAGTAAGGGAAGGGTAGCGAGTGGGAGGGAGTGGGTGTGCGAGGGAGAGAGAGAGAGAGAGAGAGAGAGAGCGAGCCTGCGAGGCAGGGGAGTGATTGATTGACCGCCATCCCCTCTCGTCTCAGACCCCTACGTGCAGGTGTCGTTCCTTCATCGCAGCAAACGGACGGAGGCAATACGGGGTTCAGTGAACCCCACGTGGGACCAGACCCTGGTGCTGGAGGAGATAGAGGTCTACGGCAAACTCCGTGAGGTGTCGACCCACCCCCCCTTCGTCATGTTGGAGGTGTTCAACGGCAATTATGTCGTACGTCACCCAAAATATACCCCCCACTCGGTAACAGCTCATCCCTGACCTCCCCTGTGGCTTGTGGTGTATTGCTCTCTCACTCTCTCTCTCTCTCTCTCTCACTGGGTCTCTCACAGACACCGGAGGAGGCCATTCAGCCCCTCGAGCATGTTCCTCATGCTCCCTCGATTTCCCCAACCCACTCCCCTTCCCCCCCCGCCGCCCCCCTGTCTGACAAACATCTGGACGATGTGAGGGGGTCCAGCCGTAAACCCGCAGCCTTTTGGGTGAGCGAGAGAGAGGAGAGAGAGCAACAGATTCCCCGCTGACCCTATCGGGGGAAAAACTGCCCCCAATTTCACTCCAAAATGGCCTGGCTCTGATTTGAAGCTGATGCCCCCCACTTGTTCTGGACCCCCCCGACCCCAGCCTCCCCCACCCACCCACAAGAAGAAATATTTTCTCTGTAGCTGCCCCGATCGAACCCCCTTATCATCAAACACCTCACCCTCACAGTGTCTCTGGTGGTGACTGATGGTCTCTCTCTCTCTCTCTCTCCCTCTCGTGGCTGTGTGGGGGTGTGTGTCTCTCTCTCATGGCTATGTGCGTGTGTGTGTGTTGTGTGCGCGTGCGTGTGTGTGCGTGTGTGTGTTGTGTGTGTGTGTGTCTCTTTCATGGCTATGTGCGTGTGTGTGCGTGTGTGTGTGTGCGTGTGTGTTGTGTGTGTGTGTCTCTTTCATGGCTATGTGGTGTGTGTGTGTGCGCGCGTGTGTTGCGTGTGTGTCTCTCTCGTGGCTGTGTGTGTGTGTCTCTCTCATGGCTATGTGCGTGTGCGTGCGTTGTGTGTGCGCGTGTGTGCGTCTCTCTTTCATGGCTATGTGCGCGTGTGTGTGTGTGCGCGCGCGCGTGTGCGTGTGTGTGTTGTGTGTGCGCGTGCGCGTGTGTCTCTCCCTCCCAGTGTAAGAACGAATTCCTCGGGAGCAGCCTGTGTGTGCCGAGCATCAGGCCGGACCCCGGCAGCACCGACACCCCCATCCTGCACTGGCGTCCGCTACAACGGGCAGACAAACCCTGCGGAGAAATCCTCGCCAGCTTCGAGCTGCTGCAGAAAGATCCGGTAACGTTTCTTCTCCATCTCGCGTGTGAGTGCGTGCGCGTGTGTGAGTGCGTGTGAGTGCGTGTGAGTGCGTGTGAGTGCGTGTGAGTGCGTATGTGTGTGTGTGAGTGTGTATGTGTCAGCCCGGCTCAGTGGTAGCACTCTCTCTCTCTCTCGCGGGGGGGTGTAGGGGGTGGGGGGGGGGTCTGTTGCATAGTCGGAGACGCCATCCTTCGGATGAGATGTCAAACCTCTCCCTCTCCATCTTGCCCCCTCCCCTCTTCATATCCCACCCTCACACCAGCCTCTGATCAGACCTACAGTCCACCTCCCCACCTGCTGAGACCCCCAGGGTTGGGGAGGGAGTTGGGGGGGTGGGGGTGGGGGGGAAAGGGGCTGATCAAGGAAGCAGCCATGTGTGTGAAATCATGGTGTCCGTGTTCTTGTTGCAGAATCACGATAGGAACCTACCTCCGTTACCCCCCATGAAGGACGCAGACACCTACATGGTGCCATTGGGGGTTCGGCCGATGCTACAGCTCACAGCTATTGAGGTGAGCAGCCCCTTATTCCCACCCTCGCTTCCCAGCTCTCACCCCCTCACCCCATCACCCCTCACCCTCGTTCCCCACCCTCCCTCCCTCCCCTCATCTCTCCCACTCCAGCTTCCAGACGGGCAGTCAGTCTTCGTCGAGTACAAATGGGGGGAGAGATCTCGACGGTACTTGCACGCTCTGACGCACGGGAACCCGTCACCGTGATCAGCCGCGTGTCTGGCACACGTGGATCTGGCTGGACGCTGTGGGTGTGATGTCTGTAATCTCGAACCCCTCACTCTCCCCCCCCCCCCCCCCCCACCCCTTCTCCCCTACACCCCCTCGCAGATCCTGGCCTGGGGAGTGAGGAACATGAAGAACTACAGTCTGCTGAAGGTGAGCAGCCCCAGCTTGGTGGTGGAGTGCAGTGGGGAGGTCATTCAGACACTTCCCATCAAGAACATCCGCAAGAACCCAAACTTCTCCAAACACGTCTACTTCATCACAGTGGTGAGTGAGTTCCCACCCCATCAGGAGGCAATGGTTTCCCCTTTCGCCCCCTGCCCGGTCACCTGCGATGCACCCATCCTTGGCCCCCACCCCCCCCCCTCTTCCTCATCGATACGCTCCCTCTTCTCGGAGTCTGGTACAGCCTTGATGGAGTTCACGGCCATTCCATCTCTCCTCCAAAGGAAGCCTTAACGTGGAGTCCTGTAGTGTAGTGGTTTAGAGCACTCGCCTCGCAAGCGAGAGGACCCGGGTTCGATTCCCTTTTGGGGGCGAAACCTTAGGCAACCTTACTCCGCGCTCACACACTCACACACACACACACACTCATATACACACACTCACACACGCACGCACTAGTGGGGGGGGTGTGTGTGTGCGTGTCAGAGCGGTGGGTCGCGGAGGTCGAGGGTGTCTGGCGTGAAGTGTGACTGTCGGGCTCGCTTGCAGTTCCTCCCCACAGACCCCGTGTACAGCCCCCCCATCGTCATCAAGGTTATCGATAACCGGGCGTTTGGGCTCAAACCTGTGGTGGGCCAGGCCACCATCAAGTCTCTCAATGAGTTCCTCTGCGACCCGTACAGTAAGGACCCCAGCGCCGGCTCGCCCCAAGGTGAGGACATCGTCTCCGGAGTCTCTCGTCCGATGTCACACCCGCCCGTCGCTCACTCGTTCACCCCCCACTCATTCGCTCCCCATCTGCGCCGCGTTTAGGCCGACGTTAAAGATCCCTCCCCCCGCGGCGCGGTGGGGAAAAGAGAAGGGAGTTCTCTCTCTCTCTCTCTCTCTCTCTCTCTCTCTCGCCTGGTACCCCACCCCAGATACAATCGCTCTCTCGCTTCACGGAGACGTCGCTGGTCGCAAACGGGGGCCCCCGCTTTCGCCCACAAAACAGTCACTACACTTGACCCCGAGTCCCGTGAAGCCTTGCAAGACCGCCCCCCACTCCCCCCCCCCCACCACTCCTGACGCGAAAGGCCGCTGGATAAGGTATTAATAACATTATTATATTAATAACATTATTATAAGCCCTAATAAAGATTCGGTCGCTTCAACCCACGACCGTTTGCGGACGCTGCTCCGCGCGCAATTGGCGGCCACGATTGGCCGCCCAGAAATAAGACCCGTCGCGGCCGCAAAACGCGCGGTCACCTCGGCTGTGCGGCGTAACCCCGGAGAAGCGCTTGGAGACGTCTCGAAGACGCGACCAGGCGCTGCGTTAAAGGCTCGAGTTGTCATTAGTAGTCGTATTATTGGCGGAAGATGAAAACCGTTCCCGTTTTTCTCCCCGACAGACGCCGCACAGGAGACGACGGGGCACAGTCCCTGCTGTTCGATCCTCAAACAAGCCAAGCAGAAAAACCAGGTACAACCCCCCCCCCACCACCCCCCACCCCCTCCACAGTCACTACACTTGACCTTGAATCCCTGCGAAGTCCTGGGGAGAGCGATGGCGTTGCTTATGGTAAAGATTATTCCTGTTTCCCTTCAGATCGGCAACGCGGAGCACAATAACAGCAGTAGCTCGGAGGGAGCTCTGGTGAGTGTGGAGCGCTGGTGAGTGTGAGCTGCGAACGAGTGTGAGCTGTGGTAAGCGTGAGCTCTCTGGCCGGGCGCCAAGCCAATTGTGCCCCCAGCGACGTCCCCCGCAAACAGTCGGCGTGGGTTGAAGTGACCGAATTATTACCGCGGCTATTATTATTATTATTATTACTTTCAGGACGACGACGAGATCGACTGGTGGTGTAAATTCTTCGCCTCCGCCGGCGATCAGAGAGACTTCACCGATTACGTGCAGCAGGGATACGACACCATCGAGGTACATCTAACCCCCCCCCCCCCGCCTTAGGTCCACAAAACACACAGTCACTACACTTCACAGGCAGTCCTGCGAAACTCTGGGCTGGGAGTTCGGATCCACGGAGGTTAGGCTCAAGCGACGCAGCGTCTGGTCAGAACTAGACGGCTCTCTCACCCTCGCTCTCTCTTTTTTTTTTCTCTCCCCCCCCCACCGCTCCCCCACTCCCCCTTTCTCTTTTCCCGTTTCCCCTTCTCTCCCCCTCTCTCTTTCCCTCTCTCTCTCTTTCCCCCTCTCTCTTTCCCTCTCTCTCTTTCCCATCCTCTCCCCTCCCTCTCTCTCCTCTTTCCCCCTCTCCTTCTCTCTCTAACCCCCCCTCTGCCTCCCTTCCGCCCCCGCTCTTACCCCACCACCCTCTCTATTTCACTACCCTCCTCTTCCACCCTATTTCCCCCCTCTCTCCTCCCCTTCTATCTCCCCCCTCCCTCTGTCTTTACCCCTCTCTCCCCCCTCCCCCCGTCTATCTCCTCCCTCCCTCCTTTTACCCCCATCTGCCCCCCTCTATATACGCCCCCTGCCCCCCAGGTATACCCTTGTGCGCTGGAGGACTTACCCCAATTTAAGGGGCTCGAGGATTTCTGCCACACCTTCAAGCTGTCCAGGAGTCGAGCCCCCGATGATGATGACCCCATGGTGGTCGGAGAGTTCAAGGTTCACCAGCTAATCGAGTCGGGGAGGGGGGCGCGGAAGGGTGGTGGGTGTGAGGGGGGGGAGGGTGCATTTTGGGGTTCCTAACAGCGCCTCCCCCCCCACCCCCCGGAATCGCTTCTCCGTCCAGTTCCCCCCACCAGCGATGGGAGACAACTTCTCAGCAGGTCCTGGGGTTGCCATGGTCCTGGGTTCGAGCCCCAAACCGCCCCCCCACCCCCCCCAAGTCGGGGTCTCTGAGCTCACAGTCCAGGCTGAGGCTCCAGCTCAGCGCTGGGTGGGGGAGAAAGAGGGGGGAGACCCCATTCTTCGGATGAGACGCTAAACCTCACTCACTCCCTCTCCACTGTGGGGGGTGGGGGGTGGGGGAAAAGAGAGGGGAATTTCTATCTCCCTCCCCACCCCCCCTCTCTCCCCCAGTGACCTGGCCGACAATCTCCCCCCCCCCACCCGACCCGGGCGGAAATGGGCCCCCGCGCTCGCCAACAAAACACACAGTCACTACACTTTACAATGAATCCTGTGAATTCTTGTTGAGTCCTCTTTCATGTTTGGTTTCCACCCCCATCTCCCCCACCCACCCCACCCCAACCCCCTCCCTTACCCCCACTCTCCTGCCCAACCTCCCTCCTCCCCTCAATCCAGGGCTCGTTTAAAATCTACCCCCTCCCCGAAGACCCCACCAGCTCCCTGCCCCCCGCTCAGTTTCGCCAGTTGCCACCAAGCGAGCCCCAGGTGTGTACGGTCAGGCTTTATGTTGTCCGAGCCCTCAACCTGCAGCCAAAAGACCGCAACGGACTGGTGAGTGCTGTCAACAACAACAACAACAACCACCACCACCACCACCACCACCACCACCACCACAACAAGACATTACATTTACACAACAATGTAAGAGATTCTGATGGAGACGACAAACTTGAGGCCGTAGATGCAGTTAGAATCGATATCGATTCCACTGGGAAGTGACCCTGAACCTCTTGGAGAACTCCCAACTGCTCCATCGTTACCTCTTTGGTTTACACCCCAACTTAAGCCCATGTGACCCTTACAACCTGAAAGAATGGACCTCAAAGTTGTTTTGTCCAGTCAAATCCAAAGTGATGAAGTAGGTTCGATAGGGTTAGCTACATTTTCTTTGGAGGGTGGAGGGAATCCAGAAGAAGGAGGGGCATCATCTTAAAATTAGAGCAAGGCCATTTAGGAGTGAAATCAGGGACAGTTTTTCTCCCAAATGTTAGTGGGAATCTGTTACTCTCCCCCACACCCAAAGGTTGTGGGTTATGGCTGTGGATCCATTCACATGGTCCAGACTGAGGTGGAGAGATGTTTGTTAGGTCAGGGATCAAGGGATATGGGTGAAGGAGGGTAGTTGAGGTGCAGATCAGCCGTGATGGCGGAACAGGCTCAAGGGGCTGAATGGCCTCCTCCTGTTTCCATGTTCCTATCACCTGCTCTTGCCTTCTCTCCACCAGTGTGATGCCTACATTAAGCTGTCGCTGGGGAAGGTCACCGTGGATGATCGAGAGGGATATGTTCCCAATACGTTAAACCCCGTGTTCGGCAGGTAATCACATTGATCAATCACACGCAAGAGATCGATAAGTATCTCCTCTCTCTCTCTCTCTTTCTCTCTCGGTATCCTCTTTAACGTCCGCCTGAACGGGGCAGAAAAATATACGGTCAGTTCTCTTTACGGTGTAACCTGTGAAGCGCTTTGAGACGTCTCGAAGACGTGATAAGTCGCTGTGTCAAATGCAGAGGATTATTATTATTATTGTTACAATATAGAAAAGCAAGTTGTTGTTGTTCTTGTCGTTCCCCCATTCAACCCGCTCCCCCCCCCACCCCCACCCCCACCACCACCCCACCACCCCACCTCCCAGGATGTACCAGCTCTCGGCCATCATCCCGTTGAACAAGGACCTGAAAGTCTCCGTCTATGACTACGATCTGGTCAGTCAGGACGAGAAGATCGGAGAGACTGTCATCGACTTGGAGAACCGCTTCCTGTCTCGTTTTGGGGCTCGCTGTGGCCTCCCCCAAACCTATTGCATGTGAGTCACCCCACGGCCCCATTCCCCCCCTCCCGCCCATTGCTCTCTCCTCCCATTGACTATCCCCCCCCATGTGGAGTTCCTGTAGCTCAGTGGTTAGAGCCCTCGCCTCGCAAGTGAGAGGACCCGGGTTCGATTCCCCTCCAAAAGAAAATTGGTCACTCCAACCCACGGCTGTTTGAGGGGACGCTGCTGTGCGCAATCGGCTGCCGCGTTTCGCCCACAAAACACACAGTCAATACCCTCTAAGTGTATCCTGTGAAGCGCTTTGAGGCGTCTCGAAGACGTGAGAAGGCGCCGAGTCAAAAGCGAGGATTATTATCATTATTATTCGTGTTATATTAACAGTAAAGACATTTAGAAAAGGAGTGAGTGTGAGCGATTGTGTTGATGTGATTCTCAGGCAGGGTTCAAACCAATGGCGCGATCAGCTCACACCCCTACAACTCCTCGATAACTTTGCCAGCGTAAAGAATTACCCCTCTCCCATGGTCCACGCCAGCGGCAAAAAGATCAGCATCGGAGACCAGAGTTACCTTCTGGAGGATTACGGTAAGACCATCGCATCTCGCACGCCAACAACCGCAATAAATTGGAGCGCCTTTCATGTCCCGAAGCGTTGGACAAGTCAGCGAAGCGCTACGAGATGTCCTGGCGAGATGGAGGGTTCCGTGTAAATGTCGGTGGTTGTACGTTAACAACAACGACGATGATGATAATAATCATAATCCTCGCCTTTCACACAGCGCCTCATCGCGTCCTCGAGACGTCTCAAAGCGCTTCGCGGAATCTACCGTAAAGTGCAGTGACTGTGCGTTATGGTGGGCCAAACGGGGCAGCCATTCGCACGTGGCATTTGTGGATTTTGTTCTTGTTTGTTCCTCAGAGAAGAGGAAGTCTCCCTACATGAGTGTGGGGCTGCCAGAGGAGAGGCTCTCGCTGTATCTGCTCCACAAACACAACATGATTCCTGAACACGTCGAGACGAGGACCCTGTTCAACAAAACCCAACCCGGGATTGACCAGGTGAGAGCCAGCATTCCCCCACCCCGCCCACCCTACCGCCCCCACCCAGCACCCACACCACCCCCAGCTCCTACCATACCCCCCGTCAGGTGACCGGAATGGCCTCTTCGGCGGAGCAAACCCATATCTGAGCGCTCAAGAAGGATTGCGACCGCATCAATATGGTGTGATCTGAGCGAGTGAGTACCTGGGTGTCCGGGGCTCACAAATTCTGATTACCCGTGTGTTTCTCCCCCAGGGTAAGCTGCAACTCTGGGTTGACCTATTTCCAAAGGCATTTGGCCAGCCAGGCCCACCCTTTGACATCACTCCCAGGAAACCTAAGAGGTGAGAGTGACGCTCCGTGTCCGATTGACACCACTCGCTGCGGAACCTGGGGTTCATTACTCGTAGACACCAAGAGACACGATGGGGGGAAGAGAGAGAGAGAGAGAGAGAGAGCAGGGCATGGGGTTGGGGTAGAGCGTGTGATGTGATGTGATATGGCCTCTTCCAGGTATGTTCTCCGCTGTATAATCTGGAACACGAGTGAAGTCATTCTGGAGGAGAAGAGTATAATGGGAGAGAAAATGAGTGACATTTACATCCAGGGGTAAGGATTCCATCAGTGGCTGCACTTTTCCCCCCCTCTTGCCCTGTTCCCCCGGCTCTCTCCACCCCGACCCTTATTCTCTCCACCCCCACCTCAATTTCCCCCCCGCACGCGCCCCGCCTGGCCACCCCCCCTCTCCCCTCTCCCCCTCTCTCCCCCTCTCTCTCTCTCTCTCTGTCCTTCAACAAGCGTTCTGCGAAAACCGACGGAAATCTTGTCAGCCCGTGGCTCAGTCACACTCACTCTCACCTCCAAGTCCGAGTCAGGAGGTTGTGGGTCCGAGCCCCGTGTCGGGGACTCTGACCGGTTGGGAAAGAGAGGTGGAGCTTCCCTCTCTCTCTCTCTCTCGGTGTCATGGTCGACAATCGCCCCCCACCCACCCCACCCCCCAGATAAAATCACTCGCTCGCTTCACGCCTCTTTGGGGGATGTTCTTACAATAATCCTTCCACTCGACACAGCGCCTTATCGCGCCTTCGAGACGTCTCAAAGCGCTTATGCCGTAAAGCCAAGCGAACGGCGCGCGTCTTGCGGGCGACGAGACGCGGCAGCCGATTTGCCCGCGGCAGCCTCCCCGCAAACAGTCGCGGATTGAGCGAACAAAACTCTTGTTAGCGTTCTTTTTGAAAGGGATTATTAGGGCTTCGCCCACAAAACGTACAGCCAATTGGCCTCACGGTATCCCCTGTGAAGAGCTTCGAGAGGTGATAAGGCTCGGTCGGCAAATGGCATTTTGTCGTAGTTTTGCCGTTGTCTCGGATGCGAGGAGGATGGTGAATGCGATGATGATGATGGTGGGATTATTGTTACTGGTTCGTTGCGCGCAGGTGGATGTCTGGGCTGACCACAGACAAGCAGAAGACCGATGTGCATTACAGATCTCTGGACGGGGAGGGCAACTTTAACTGGCGGTTCATCTTCCCCTTCGATTATTTGGCCGTGGAGAGAGTTCTCGTCATCAGCAGCAAGGTGACGGCACGCACACACACACGCACACACACACGCACACACACACGCACACACACCCAGACACATAGACACACACACACAGACACACAGACCCAAACTCCTCGTGGGCAGTGTCTCAGAGCACTCGACAGTGGCGGAGCCTGACTCCGAGCCGGAGTGTGTGGGGTGGCGGGGGTGTGGGGTGCAGGGGTAGGTGGCCGTAGGCACGGTCGAAGAGGAAGGTCTTCTGGACGGGACTTGAAGAAGTGGCGAGAGGGAGCGGAGGGGGGGTCTGTGGGGTGTGCGCGGGGGGTGGCGAGGCGGAGAGATTGAGGGAGAGCGTGACAGAGTTTCTGAATGGGGAGGACATTGGGAGGACAGTCAGGGATTGACTCTGCGGTTAATCGGTCCTGACCCGCTCCTCGCTCTGGCTTCACAGGAGCGGGTTTGGAGCCTGGACGAGACGGAGAAGAAAATCCCCCCCGTGCTAGTCATCCAACTGTGGGACAATGACAAATTCTCTTTCGACGACTATCTAGGTACGTGTGATGGGGTGGGGGCGAGGGGTGGGGGGGGGGGGGGTGGGGGGTGGGGGGGGGGGGTGGGGAGCAGAGCCTCGCTCGCTCGCTATCAGACTGGGTGGGAGCGTAGCGCTGAGAGTGGGGGAGAGAGAGAGAGAGACGTTAAACCTCACTCTCTTGCTCCCCGTCGGTGCCCAGTTCAGGCGGACGTTGAAGAGCTCTCCTGTGACTCTGTCGGGAAAAGAGAAGAGGGTCTCTCTCTCTCTGGTGCTCTTTCTCTCTCTCGCTCTCTCGCTGTCTCTCGCGCTCTCTGTCGCTCTCTCTCGCTCTCTCTCGTGCGCTCTCTCTCTCTCGGTCCGCGCTGAGCCGAGCTGAGGCCGAGGCGAGGCCGAGCTGAGAGCTGGTGTCGTCTGCACGCCACAGGAACGTTGGAGCTGAACCTGAACTCGTTCCGGAGTCCCACCAAGTGGCCGGAGAACTGCTCCCTGGACAGGTTCCACGGGGAGAGCGGGTCGGAGAAGCTGCAGAAGCTGGTGTCCATCTTCAAACAGAAGCACGTGCGGGGTGGTGGCCGTGTGTCAAGCAGAAGGACAGCAATCGGCAGCTCGCGGTCAGTCCCGCTCCACCTCTTGGCCCCCTTCGACCCGCGCAAACCCACAGTCACTACACTCCGAGGTGCGCCCTGCGAAGCGCTTTGAGACGTGATGAGCCTCGACCGCCCCCCCCCACACCGCCAACCGACCTCACGGTCCAGGCTAATGCTCCAATACATTCTCGGAGAGGGTGTGCGAGTGTGGAAGAGGGGTGGGTGAGGGGGTGCGGGGCTGTGGGTGGTGGCGGCGGGGGGTGGGGGTGCGGAGGTTGTGGGGGGGGTTAGGGATGGGGGGGAAAGTTGATTGATGAGCGTTTCTCCCTCTGTTGGTTTCAGGGTAAAGTGGAGATGAGTCTGGAGGTGGTGACGGAGAGTGAGGCTGAGGAGAGACCGGCGGGGAAAGGGAGGGACGAGCCCAACATGAACCCCAGACTGGAAGAGCCAAAGTACGTGCGGAGGCTACAGGTCTGACCCCCCCACACTCACTCACTCACTCACTCACTCACTCACTCACTCACTCACTCACTCACTCACTCACTCACTCACTCACTCACTCACCCCCTCTCTTACACACTCACTCCCACCCCTTACTCCCACCCCCCCCCTCACTCCCCCATTCACTCACTCACTCACCCCCTCTCTTACACACTCACTCCCAACCCTCACTCCCACGCTTCACTCCCCCCTCATTCCCCCACTCACTCACTCCCTCACTCCCTCTTCCATCATTCTCACATATTCTCTTTCTCCCTCTCTTCCCCCACTCTCACACACGCTCCCTCACTCTCACTCTACCCCCCTCCCTCCCTCCCTCCCTCACTCCCTCTCTCTCACTCTCTCTGTTCTCCAGCCGTCCAGACACCTCCTTCCTGTGGTTCCAGTCTCCGCTGAAGGTCCTGAGACACATATTTTGGCGGAAATACAAGTGGTGGGTGATCGCTGGCTTTGTCATCTTCCTTCCGCTCCTCTTCATCATGCTCTTCATTTACGCCTTCCCTGTGAGTACCAGCCCCAGCGCCGGGGAGGGGGGCGAGTGGGGTTGGGTGGGGGGGTGTGCGACAGAGCCGTGGGTGGGGGAGGGGGAGACCCAAGATGGGGGTAGGGGGGCATGTGGCGAGGGGGAGGAGAGACAGAGGTGTTTAGGGGAGGGAGGGGGAGACAGGGACTGGAGCGGAGGGGGAAACACTTGGGGGGTGGGGGGGAGAGAGGCATGGGGTGCAAGGGGAGACAGAGTGGTGGGGTGGGGGGCACAGGCGTGGGGGGTGGGGGACAGGGGAGGGAGGAAGAGAGGATGGTCATTACAAGCAGCTCGATACTGTGCTGGGGGGCAGTTTGGTGGGTGGGTGGGGGGCAGTTTGGTGGGTGGGTGGGGGGCAGTTTGGTGGGTGGGTGGGGGGCAGTTTGATGGGTGGGGGGGGGGGGGGGGTTGGGATTGATGGATTGAAGGAGTGTGTCAGCCCGGCTCAGCGTGTGTATACGTGTCAGTCTGGCTCAATGGTAGCGCTCTCTCTCTCTCACTCTCTCACTCTCTCTCTCGCCTCTGAGGCAGGAGATTGTGGGTTCAAACCCCCACATGGTGGGACTTGGAATCCCACACATAGTCCGAGCTGAGGCTCGAGCTCAGCGCTGGGGGTGGGGGGGGGGGGGGGGGGGGAGAGAGAGAGAGAGCGAGAGAGAGAGAGAGAGAGAGAGCGCCTCATTGTCGGAGACGCCTTCCTTCGGATGAGCCATTAGACCGAGGTCCCGTCTGTCCCCGTTCAGGGGGACGCTGTTCGAAAAGAGAAGAGAGTTTCTCTCCCTCTCTCCCTCTCTCTCTCTCTCTCTTATGGTGTCTCGGCCAACAAACCCCCGGATCAAACTGCTCGCTCACTCCGTGGCTGTTTGGGGGGGGGAGCGCGCAAACCGTCTGCCCCGTTTCTCCCCCCGAAATAAGACGCGCTCGGGGGAGGCGCCGGGTGTATTACGGGCGTTGCAGGAGGTGTTCTGATGGGACCCGTTTCCAATCTCTATGGCGCGGTCTGTGTCTGTTCCCGTCTCTGGTCCGTTTCAAAGGTTTAATTGTATTATTTTTTAACAAAAAAGAATCTCCCAATCCCTGAAAATCCCACGGACACAGTGTGACACCCACACACTCCCAGTGTCTTGTGTAAACTGTAAGAAAATGTTTTTGGGGTCCATAGCTGAGGGCACCCAACCCCCCCCCACACCCCCACCCGCCCTCTCCCCCGCCCTCGCCCTCTCCCCCGCCCTCTCCCCCGCCCTCTCCCCCGCCCTCTCCCCCGCCCTCCACCGTGTCATAAGTATTTGTTATAATAGATAATCATAGAATTTTACAGCACAGAAGGAGGCCATTCGGCCCCTCGAGCCTGTGCCGGCTCTTTGAAGGAGCTACCGACTAATCCCACTCCCTCGCTCTTACCCCAACTAGTCCCACTCCCCCGCTCTTACCCCAACTAGTCCCCACTCCCCCTGCTCTTACCACAACTAGTCTCACTCCTCCCACTCTTACCCCAACCAGTCCCATTCCCCTGCTCTTACCACAACTAGTCCCACTCCCCCGCTCTTACCCCAACTAGTCCCTCTCCCCGCTCTTACCCCAACTAGTCCCACTCCCCGCTCTTACCCCAACTAGTCCCACTCCCCCACTCTTACCCCAACTAGTCCCACTCCCCCGCTCTTACCCCAACTAGTCCCACTCCCCCGCTCTTACCCCAACTAGTCCCACTCCCCCACTCTTACCCCAACTAGTCCCACTCCCCCGCTCTTACCCCAACTAGTCCCACTCCCCCACTCTTACCCCAACTAGTCCCACTCCCCCGCTCTTACCCCAACTAGTCCCCACTCCCCTATTACCCCAACTAGTCCCCACTCCCCTATTACCCCACATTTTTTCCTTTTTGAAGTACCTGCGATTCCCTTTTGAAAGCTATTTTTTTGTGTCTAAAATTTGTTTTGACAGAATGTTTTAGCAAACATTTTCCTGCAGTCCACCAGATCCCAGCGCTAGGGGAGCCCCCCGCCCGGAGACACGCACACGCGGCGGGAGGTCCCGGGGAACTCCGTGAGGGACCCCTTTCGTCTGTTCCGGCGTTCAGCGGAGCGACGTCACGCAAACTCCCAGCGTCCAGACCGCAACACGGGCGTGCCCGCCAGCGTGAGTGTCCGTGCTGCATTACGCGTGCGCGCGTATACCTGCATGATCCCGCGCGTGCAAGTCTGCGTGCACGGGTGCCTCCATACGCACAGACGCGTGTGCGCGTGCGTGTGCTCACGTTTGTGCCAATATGCAAGCGTGTACACATGTGGATGTACGTGTGTGCGTGAGCGCGCACAGACCTTTGGAAAAGACGTCACGCTGAAAGCAGGACTGTCCTGCCCCAGGATGGGAGAGGGGGTGGGTGGGGGGGGGGGGGGGGGGGGTGGGAGTTACCTTGTGAATTTTCCAAAGATTTGGAGAAAGCGGGATAAAATTCCTGGACATTCCGGGCGGATTCCCTCGGATCCGAACTCCGCTGCGTTCAGTTCGCGTGTCTTTCTTTGTCTCCGAATCAGCCGACGTAGAGCGGCAGTATATTTTTTATGAGGAAAGGCGTTAAAATTGTAATGAATTGTAAAATACAGGATTGCCTTCAGTTTCGACATTGCTTCACGGTGGACTCAATTAACCACATGTAGAATAAACGCACCGTCCTCCGCTAACGGGTTACGGGTATAATAGTAATAATCCTGGATTTAATACAGCGCCTCATCACGTCTTCCGAGACGTCTGAAAGGAGACACACTGTACAGCGAATTCGACTGTATATTTTGCGGGCGAAACGCGGCAGCCCATCGCGCACAGCAGCGTCCCGTTCCCCCCCCCCCCCCACCCACCCCCCGCGAAGAGTCGTGGATTGAGCAGACGAATTTGGTTTCGAATGGATTATTATCCCCGGAAAAGCGATCCGCCGATCGACTAAGAACCGGGTTCCTGCTCACTGCTGGTAAACAGGCGTGTGCGTGTGCGCGCGCGCGTGCGGAAACTTGTCCAATGTCTCGCCCCGATCTGACCCGCCCGGGAATCGAACCCGGGTCTACCACCGCTAACCACCGAGCTCCAGGGAGATCGGAGGGTGCGCCGCTTCGTCATTAAAAACTCGTAAACCATTTCTGGGCGGGAGATTTTTTTTTCCCCCTCCCAAGTTTTATTTGAAATTCATGATTATTTTGAGAGCAGTGCTGGGGTTGGAGGCATCATTGGCCTCTCACGTTTACAAAAGGCGACGCACGATTCATAGACTCTTTAAAAACTCAACTTTTGCCACGGAGACGGCAAGGAAATATGGTACAAAAAGGTCCGCAACCACAGTTTGCAACCACGAACTTGAATCTCACGGCTCGTTTTACGTACGCCAACAAAATAATAAATCCGAGCGTTTGATGTAGCGTTCTGTCATGTTGTCGAGACGTCTCGACGTAAGAAAGAGGTGGTTTAGGTCGAGGGGCTCAGGGGTGAGGTGTGATGGGGAAGGTGAGGAAGTCCTGGTTCCTCGGAGCTCAACTGGTAACCCAATATCGGAATCGACCCCCCCAACCCCCCCCCCCTTTCTGTAACAGTCTCGAGCCCCCGGTTCCTGAGCCGGGAGGGGCCGCGGTGTCCCAGGGCACTCGCTGCTGATGGCAGCACAGCCCGGCCCGGCTCATCGGCAGGACCTGGAAGGGCCGACCAGTCACTGGGGGCCGGGAATCCTCCCCCTCAGCTCCTGGTAACCCCACAGCCAAAGCCCTAACTAACGGGGAGGGGGGTCCGAGCCGGACAAGCAGCGGGAAAGCTCGGCCAGACAGCGACATCAATGGCCGGAGCTGTGTGTGGGTTTAGATGGTTAGACTCCAGCAGTTACCCCAACGCACACTCTGGGGCTCTCCCAAAACCTGGTCAATCTGCGTGGAAATGGATGATCTCTCACCCAACCATCTGATGTGCAGAGCAAAGATGAACAGGAGGGCGGGAGGGAGAGCGTCAGACATTCCCCTCACGGGATCCAGATGTGTTTCTCTGTGTGTCACGAGGCTGGTGACAACACGCGCTCAGTCGCTGGTAGATTGTCAGATATGGACCTTAGTGATACCTCTCCCCCCGGCCCAAAGAAAAGCCGCCCTGAGAGAGGGAGGGAGGGAGGGAGAGAGTCAAGACAGCATCCAGTGTTCCAAACAAGAGAGAGAGAGAGACCAAGAGAGAGAAATACAGACAGACAGACAGATAGACAGACAGAGAATGAACGAGAGAGACAGAGAGGGAGGGAGATAAAGACAGACAGACAGACAGAGAGAGAGAGTCACAGTACTGTTTCACGTTGTAAAGTTGTCATTCTTTTTAACGATGGAACGACGAGGCAGCAAAGGTAGAATTTGTTCAGGGGGGAAAAAAGATTTTTTGTAAAGAAAAAGGGCTAAATAAATGGTGGGCGAGTGTGTGTATTGGGTGTGTTTGGAAAGGTGTGTGTGTATGGGGGGGGCTGGGTGGGTGTGGGCGAATATCTGTGTGGGTGTGTGTGTGGGTGTACGGTTGAGTGTATATATGGTTGTATAGGCGGGTGGGTGTGTGAGTGTGTGTGAGGGTGTGTGTGGTTGGGTGTGTGTGAGGGTGTGTGTGTGGTTCAGTGTGTGTGAGGGAGTGTGTGTGTGAGGGTGTGTGTGTGAGGGTGTGTGTGTGTGAGGGTGTGTGTGTGAGGGTGTGTGTGTGTGTGAGGGTGTGTGTGTGAGGGTGTGTGTGTGAGGGTGTGTGTGTGAGGGTGTGTGTGTGGTTCAGTGTGTGTGAGGGAGTGTGTGTGTGTGAGGGAGTGTGTGTGAGGGTGTGTGTGTGAGGGTGTGTGTGTGTGAGGGTGTGTGTGTGGTTCAGTGTGTGTGAGGGAGTGTGTGTGAGGGTGTGTGTGTGTGAGGGTGTGTGTGTGAGGGTGTGTTGTGTCTCAACTGACTCAACAGTGACAGCGGACTGGGCTGACTCTGCCGGTCACTGTGTTCGCCGTTGCGGTGTCTGGCTCTGAAAACGGATCATCGGACAAATCCGGGTGACACCGGGGTTGGTGATGGTGGTGGTGGTGGTGGGGGGGGGGGGGAGGTCAGAACATTCCGGACCGGATGGAGCTGCGGAGCTGGTCAGTAGAAGCGCTTCCTGCTCTGTTCCTGCCATTTCTGGTAGCTGATGATCCCGATCACCACTGCGATCACCGCCCCCACCAGACACATCAGCATCACGGCAAAGAGAGCCAGGCCGCTCATGGGCTCCGGGAGGGCATCTGGGAAGGGAGAGAGAGAAGGAACGTGACTGTGCGGAGTCCCAAGAGGCAGCCCAGAGGCAAGTGCTCTAACCAATGTCCCTCCTCGTAGCGCCTCAAGAGTGTTGGCTAGCAGGGAGAAAAGGTGGGGAGGGGGACATGGAGGGTGGGTGGGGGGGGGGGGTGTCCCTGCTCGGAGACGGTCTGGGGGGGCTTGGGAGGGGAGTGGGGAGGCGCGGGAAGGTGGGAGAGTCGAGGCTGCTCACCTTCATGTGGGTCAAAGTTGTCCACGCTGGGGGTCAACACCTCCTCTTCCTCGCCGTCCCCCTCCCCCGGCAAGTGCTCTCCCTCCTCCATCAGCTGGTACAGCTTCAGGGACACGATATCGTGGTTATCTGCAGGACACACACAGGAAGAAGAGCACGTCAGCACTTGAGCTCAGCCGCTCGCTCGTCTCCGAGTCAGGAGCTTTGTTGGGTTCGAGTCCACAACTCGGGGACCCAACCCCCAAGTCCTTCTGATTTCAGCTCCGGAATCGTCCGATTTGGCCCCGTATCTGAGTTACTTCACTCCCCCCCCACCCACCCATTGGTTTGACTTCACCCCCTCCCTCCCCCGATACGTTCAACCAAGGTCCCGTCTGCCTGTCGCTACACCTTGACACAGCGTTGGGGTGGGGGGGGGGGTGGGGAGAGAGAGAGGGAGAGCACAGCGCATTGTCAAAAGAAAATAAATTGCAGAGTCAAAGAAAGGTAAGACATTAGAGGTGACGCACCCGTGAGGTCTCCGGTGGCTGATGAGGCCCCAAAGTAATATCGGAGTGGGAGCCTCACCCCAGGGACGTCGATACAGTCTCTCCACTCGTTCTTTCCGTCAATGTCAATCATCACCTGGAGGGGAGAGAGGGAGGGGAGGGGAGAGAGAGAGGAGCGGATGGGAGAGGAGGGCAGAAGAGTGGAGGAGAGGGAAGAGACCGAGGAGATGAGAGCGAGGGGAGGGAGAGGAAGGAGAGAGAGGAGTGGATGGGAGAGGAGGGCAGAAGAGTGGAGGAGAGGGAAGAGACCGAGGAGATGAGATGCAATGTGACCAGGGTTTGGGCTCAACATACCCTGTTGTCGTGTTTGTTGTTGGGACCTGAACTCCAGCCGAGTACACAGAAAAGCCGAGCTAAGCGCGGTTCAGGGCAAAAACAGGGAGAGGGATTGTCCTCCTTAGAGCAAAGGATTCACGTTGTCCAGACTGAGGTGGATGGATGTTTGTGAGGTCGGGGGATCAAGTGATATGGGGGCAAAGGCTGGTAATTGGACTTGAGGTACAGATCAGCCGTGATCTAATAGAATGACGGAACAGGCTCGAGGGGATGCAGCGTCCTTCCCCCTGCGCTAAAGTCATTGAGGGGTGTGTGTTTGGGGGCCGGATTGTTGGGGTCCCATCACCGGAGTGGTAACAATAATACAGCAATGCTGACGTTGCTGGGGGCACATTGCTAGTCCGTAGACAGATGGAAAAAACAAACACTCACCAGTCATTCCCTGTGAGATGCTTTGTGACGTATTGATGTTTCAAGCGCTTGATCGAATGCGAGGATTAACATTATAAATACATCAGACATTGCTTGGAAAGCTGAGCTGAGACAGTGAAACAGGTGAGAAGGTGAGCTCGCACAAGACTGCCCTTCCTCTGCCCAATTCTTCACACCCCAGGCTTCCTCAATCACCGCCTGTCATGCTGTTGTGTGGCGGTGTTGCACTGGTGCAGGTCGCGGTTATCTGCGTACGCTGTATCTACGTTTTTTTTTGACGGCCGGGTGTCTGACACACACGGAAATCTCATCCCCTCGAGCCTGTTCCGTCATTCTATTAGATCACGGCTGATCTGTACCTCAAGTCCAATTACCAGCCTTTGCCCCCATATCACTTGATCCCCCGACCTCACAAACATCCATCCACCTCAGTCTGGACAACGTGAATCCTTTGCTCTAAGGAGGACAATCCCTCTCCCTGTTTTTGCCCTGAACCGCGCTTAGCTCGGCTTTTCTGTGTACTCGGCTGGAGTTCAGGTCCCAACAACAAACACGACAACAGGGTATGTTGAGCCCAAACCCTGGTCACATTGCATCTCATCTCCTCGTCTCTTCCCTCTCCTCCACTCTTCTGCCCTCCTCTCCCATCCACTCCTCTCTCTCCTTCCTCTCCTCCCCTCGCTCTCATCTCCTCGGTCTCTTCCTCTCCTCCACTCTTCTGCCCTCCTCTCCCATCCGCTCCTCTCTCTCTCCCCTCCCCTCCCTCTCCCCTCCAGGTGATGATTGACATTGACGGAAAGAACGAGTGGAGAGACTGTATCGACGTCCCTGGGGTGAGGCTCCCACTCCGATATTACTTTGGGGCCTCATCAGCCACCGGAGACCTCACGGGTGCGTCACCTCTAATGTCTTACCTTTCTTTGACTCTGCAATTTATTTTCTTTTGACAATGCGCTGTGCTCTCCCTCTCTCTCTCCCCACCCCCCCCCACCCCAACGCTGTGTCAAGGTGTAGCGACAGGCAGACGGGACCTTGGTTGAACGTATCGGGGGAGGGAGGGGGTGAAGTCAAACCAATGGGTGGGTGGTGGGGGAGTGAAGTAACTCAGATACGGGGCCAAATCGGACGATTCCGGAGCTGAAATCAGAAGGACTTGGGGGTTGGGTCCCCGAGTTGTGGACTCGAACCCAACAAAGCTCCTGACTCGGAGACGAGCGAGCGGCTGAGCTCAAGTGCTGACGTGCTCTTCTTCCTGTGTGTGTCCTGCAGATAACCACGATATCGTGTCCCTGAAGCTGTACCAGCTGATGGAGGAGGGAGAGCACTTGCCGGGGAGGGGGACGGCGAGGAAGAGGAGGTGTTGACCCCCAGCGTGGACAACTTTGACCCACATGAAGGTGAGCAGCCTCGACTCTCCCACCTTCCCGCGCCTCACCACTCCCCTCCCAAGCCCCCCCAGACCGTCTCCGAGCAGGGACACCCCCCCCCCCACCCACTCTCCATGTCCCCCTCCCCACCTTTTCTCCCTGCTAGCCAACACTCTTGAGGCGCTACGAGGAGGGACATTGGTTAGAGCACTTGCCTCTGGGCTGCCTCTTGGGACTCCGCACAGTCACGTTCCTTCTCTCTCTCCCTTCCCAGATGCCCTCCCGGAGCCCATGAGCGGCCTGGCTCTCTTTGCCGTGATGCTGATGTGTCTGGTGGGGGCGGTGATCGCAGTGGTGATCGGGATCATCAGCTACCAGAAATGGCAGGAACAGAGCAGGAAGCGCTTCTACTGACCAGCTCCGCAGCTCCATCCGGTCCGGAATGTTCTGACCTCCCCCCCCCCACCACCACCACCACCACCATCACCAACCCCGGTGTCACCCGGATTTGTCCGATGATCCGTTTTCAGAGCCAGACACCACAACGGCGAACACTAACCGGCAGAGTCAGCCCAGTCCGCTGTCACTGTTGAGTCAGTTGAGACACAACACACCCTCACACACACACCCTCACACACACACACCCTCACACACACACTCCCTCACACACACACACACCCTCACACACACTCACACACACACCCTCACACACACACCCTCACACACACACCCTCACACACACACCCTCACACACACACTCCCTCACACACACTCCCTCACACACACACACTCCCTCACACACACTGAACCACACACACACCCTCACACACACACCCTCACACACACACCCTCACACACACACCCTCACACACACACACACCCTCACACACACACCCTCACACACACACACACCCTCACACACACACCCTCACACACACACTCCCTCACACACACTGAACCACACACACACCCTCACACACACCCAACCACACACACCCTCACACACACTCACACACCCACCCGCCTATACAACCATATATACACTCAACCGTACACCCACACACACACCCACACAGATATTCGCCCACACCCACCCAGCCCCCCCCATACACACACACCTTTCCAAACACACCCAATACACACACTCGCCCACCATTTATTTAGCCCTTTTTCTTTACAAAAAAATCTTTTTTCCCCCCTGAACAAATTCTACCTTTGCTGCCTCGTCGTTCCATCGTTAAAAAGAATGACAACTTTACAACGTGAAACAGTACTGTGACTCTCTCTCTCTCTCTGTCTGTCTGTCTGTCTTTATCTCCCTCCCTCTCTGTCTCTCTCGTTCATTCTCTGTCTGTCTATCTGTCTGTCTGTCTGTATTTCTCTCTCTTGGTCTCTCTCTCTCTCTCTCTTGTTTGGAACACTGGATGCTGTCTTGACTCTCTCCCTCCCTCCCTCCCTCTCTCAGGGCGGCTTTTCTTTGGGCCGGGGGGAGAGGTATCACTAAGGTCCATATCTGACAATCTACCAGCGACTGAGCGCGTGTTGTCACCAGCCTCGTGACACACAGAGAAACACATCTGGATCCCGTGAGGGGAATGTCTGACGCTCTCCCTCCCGCCCTCCTGTTCATCTTTGCTCTGCACATCAGATGGTTGGGTGAGAGATCATCCATTTCCACGCAGATTGACCAGGTTTTGGGAGAGCCCCAGAGTGTGCGTTGGGGTAACTGCTGGAGTCTAACCATCTAAACCCACACACAGCTCCGGCCATTGATGTCGCTGTCTGGCCGAGCTTTCCCGCTGCTTGTCCGGCTCGGACCCCCCTCCCCGTTAGTTAGGGCTTTGGCTGTGGGGTTACCAGGAGCTGAGGGGGAGGATTCCCGGCCCCCAGTGACTGGTCGGCCCTTCCAGGTCCTGCCGATGAGCCGGGCCGGGCTGTGCTGCCATCAGCAGCGAGTGCCCTGGGACACCGCGGCCCCTCCCGGCTCAGGAACCGGGGGCTCGAGACTGTTACAGAAAGGGGGGGGGGGTTGGGGGGGTCGATTCCGATATTGGGTTACCAGTTGAGCTCCGAGGAACCAGGACTTCCTCACCTTCCCCATCACACCTCACCCCTGAGCCCCTCGACCTAAACCACCTCTTTCTTACGTCGAGACGTCTCGACAACATGACAGAACGCTACATCAAACGCTCGGATTTATTATTTTGTTGGCGTACGTAAAACGAGCCGTGAGATTCAAGTTCGTGGTTGCAAACTGTGGTTGCGGACCTTTTTGTACCATATTTCCTTGCCGTCTCCGTGGCAAAAGTTGAGTTTTTAAAGAGTCTATGAATCGTGCGTCGCCTTTTGTAAACGTGAGAGGCCAATGATGCCTCCAACCCCAGCACTGCTCTCAAAATAATCATGAATTTCAAATAAAACTTGGGAGGGGGAAAAAAAAATCTCCCGCCCAGAAATGGTTTACGAGTTTTTAATGACGAAGCGGCGCACCCTCCGATCTCCCTGGAGCTCGGTGGTTAGCGGTGGTAGACCCGGGTTCGATTCCCGGGCGGGTCAGATCGGGGCGAGACATTGGACAAGTTTCCGCACGCGCGCGCGCACACGCACACGCCTGTTTACCAGCAGTGAGCAGGAACCCGGTTCTTAGTCGATCGGCGGATCGCTTTTCCGGGGATAATAATCCATTCGAAACCAAATTCGTCTGCTCAATCCACGACTCTTCGCGGGGTGGGGGGGGGGGGGGGGGGGAACGGGACGCTGCTGTGCGCGATGGGCTGCACGGTTTCGCCCGCAAAATATACAGTCAAATTCGCTTTATAGTGTGTCTCCTTTCAGACGTCTCGGAAGACGTGATGAGGCGCTGTATTAAATCCAGGATTATTACTATTATACCCGTAACCCGTTAGCGGAGGACGGTGCGTTTATTCTACATGTGGTTAATTGAGTCCACCGTGAAGCAATGTCGAAACTGAAGGCAATCCTGTATTTTACAATTCATTACAATTTTAACGCCTTTCCTCATAAAAAATATACTGCCGCTCTACGTCGGCTGATTCGGAGACAAAGAAAGACACGCGAACTGAACGCAGCGGAGTTCGGATCCGAGGGAATCCGCCCGGAATGTCCAGGAATTTTATCCCGCTTTCTCCAAATCTTTGGAAAATTCACAAGGTAACTCCCACCCCCCCCCCCCCCCCCACCCCCCCCCTCCTCTCCATCCTGGGGCAGGACAGTCCTGCTTTCAGCGTGACGTCTTTTCCAAAGGTCTGTGCGCGCTCACGCACACACGTACATCCACATGTGTACACGCTTGCATATTGGCACAAACCTGAGCACGCGCACACGCGTCTGTGCGTATGGAGGCACCCGTGCACGCAGACTTGCACGCGCGGGATCATGCAGGTATACGCGCGCACGCGTAATGCAGCACGGACACTCACGCTGGCGGGCACGCCCGTGTTGCGGTCTGGACGCTGGGAGTTTGCGTGACGTCGCTCCGCTGAACGCCGGAACAGACGAAAGGGGTCCCTCACGGAGTTCCCCGGGACCTCCCGCCGCGTGTGCGTGTCTCCGGGCGGGGGGCTCCCCTAGCGCTGGGATCTGGTGGACTGCAGGAAAATGTTTGCTAAAACATTCTGTCAAAACAAATTTTAGACACAAAAAAATAGCTTTCAAAAGGGAATCGCAGGTACTTCAAAAAGGAAAAAATTTGGGGTAATAGGGGAGTGGGGACTAGTTGGGGTAAGAGCGGGGGAGTGGGACTAGTTGGGGTAAGAGCGGGGGAGTGGGACTAGTTGGGGTAAGAGTGGGGGAGTGGGACTAGTTGGGGTAAGAGCGGGGAGTGGGACTAGTTGGGGTAAGAGTGGGGGAGTGGGACTAGTTGGGGTAAGAGCGGGGGAGAGGGACTAGTTGGGGTAAGAGCGGGGGAGTGGGACTAGTTGGGGTAAGAGTGGGGGAGTGGGACTAGTTGGGGTAAGAGCAGGGGAGTGGGACTAGTTGGGGTAAGAGCGGGGAGAGGGACTAGTTGGGGTAAGAGCGGGGGAGTGGGACTAGTTGGGGTAAGAGCAGGGGAGTGGGACTAGTTGGGGTAAGAGTGGGGGAGTGGGACTAGTTGGGGTAAGAGCGGGGGTGGGGACTAGTTGGGGTAAGAGCGGGGGAGTGGGACTAGTTGGGGTAAGAGCGAGGGAGTGGGATTAGTCGGTAGCTCCTTCAAAGAGCCGGCACAGGCTCGAGGGGCCGAATGGCCTCCTTCTGTGCTGTAAAATTCTATGATTATCTATTATAACAAATACTTATGACACGGTGGAGGGCGGGGGAGAGGGCGGGGGAGAGGGCGGGGGAGAGGGCGGGGGAGAGGGCGAGGGCGGGGGAGAGGGCGGGTGGGGGTGTGGGGGGGGGTTGGGTGCCCTCAGCTATGGACCCCAAAAACATTTTCTTACAGTTTACACAAGACACTGGGAGTGTGTGGGTGTCACACTGTGTCCGTGGGATTTTCAGGGATTGGGAGATTTTTTTTTGTTAAAAAATAATACAATTAAACCTTTGAAACGGACCAGAGACGGGAACAGACACAGACCGCGCCATAGAGATTGGAAACGGGTCCCATCAGAACACCTCCTGCAACGCCCGTAATACACCCGGCGCCTCCCCGAGCGCGTCTTATTTCGGGGGGAGAAACGGGGCAGACGGTTTGCGCGCTCCCCCCCCCAAACAGCCACGGAGTGAGCGAGCAGTTTGATCCGGGGGTTTGTTGGCCGAGACACCATAAGAGAGAGAGAGAGAGAGGGAGAGAGGGAGAGAAACTCTCTTCTCTTTTCGAACAGCGTCCCCCTGAACGGGGACAGACGGGACCTCGGTCTAATGGCTCATCCGAAGGAAGGCGTCTCCGACAATGAGGCGCTCTCTCTCTCTCTCTCTCTCTCGCTCTCTCTCTCTCCCCCCCCCCCCCCCACCCCCAGCGCTGAGCTCGAGCCTCAGCTCGGACTGTGTCAACGCTACCATTGAGCCAGACTGACACGTATACACACGCTGAGCCGGGCTGACACACTCCTTCAATCCATCAATCCCAACCCCCCCCCCCCCCCCACCCATCAAACTGCCCCCACCCACCCACCAAA